TTTTGAAGATGGTGGGATAATTTTTGGGAGGGTGTGCATTCAGTGTGGGTGTGCATTGACCTTGGATCTCGGTTAGCGGCCGCCACCAGCGAAACCTTAAATTCTGCCATCTTTTTGATGATCCGAACTTGATCAACAACATCTCTCCACGCCAGAGTTAGCTCCTCTACACGAGGCCGAACAGTGTCACCATGGCACCGCCGAATAACCAGAAGCGTGTAAAAGGCACGCAGGTGTACCGGCCATTCGTCTACGGCACAATAGCGAGGTTGTTCAACGATGAGACGAATCCCAAGCCACCTGGAACGCCCGCCGACCACACACACTCATGGACGGTATTCGTGAAGGGAGTCGACGATGCAGATATCACATACTGGTGCAAGAAAGTGCAATTCAAACTGCACGAGTCCATTCCCAACCCGCTTCGAAGTACGTTCCTTCTCCCATGCAGCCGTAGTCATGAGATCTAATAAACCTCAGTGATCGACGACGTCCCTCCCGGCGGAGCCTTCGAAGTCCACGAAACAGGCTGGGGCGAATTCGAAATAACAATCAAGCTCTACTATGTCCCCGAATCTCTCGAGAAACCACAAACCCTATACCATCACCTACGACTACATCCATACGGCGAGACGGAAGAAGAGAAGGAGAAGATGAAGCAGAGGGGCGAGGTCCCGGCTGTTGTGTACGAGGAGCAGTTGTTTAATGAGCCGTATGAGAATTTCTTCGAGATTTTGACGAGTCCCGCGCCGCCTGGGAAGGGTGGGAAGACGAAGGTCCTGAAGGGAGGGATGGTTTCGAGTGTGGGGGAGAGGACGGCGTTGATTCCGTTGACGAATAGGCCGGGATCGGAATTCAGCTTGGAGACGGAAAACTTGCTCCTTGTCGAAATCAGAAGGGCTGCCGCTGATGTTATGAAAATGATTGAGGAAACGAAGGAGGACGTGGTGAAGAAGGAAGCAGAGCTAGCCGCCCTCAGGGGCCCGATTCAAACTTGAAATCGCCGCTCTAAAGATTTGAGGACTGTGAGAACTTGTCATTGGCCATCGATTGCGACGTCGACTCTGTCGGCTACTGTAGTGGAAATTCATGTCACAACACGAAAACAGTCGTGGTTGATCACTGGGTGCCACATGAATTGATGGCCATCCAAAAGTTCTCGGTGGGAATGCAGGGCTCTATGGTGATAGTGTCTGTGAGGAAAGGGACTCGGGCTTGCCCCAAATAGAATGAACGTATCGTATAAGGGCTACCATACTTTGCCAAATCAAGTATAGAGTTACCCAAGCACTTTGTTACCTTTCGTTTCTATTGGCTTCTCTATGGAGTGTTTTTGATTCCGTTGCTTGTTTCAAATTGGGTTCACGGGCATTGTTGATGACTTAGTTTTTTGTCGTTTCTGTTCCATCCCCAGCCTTATGCTTCATCTCAAGCAAAATGTTTCCAACACATGACGCAGTTTCTTATCCCTCATCGCCTCTCCATCCATCAAGCCCCAAACAAAACACTCCCCGACTAGGAGGTAATGATCTCTCAGCTTCCTCAACACCAGCGGAACGTTACAACCTAAGATCACACATATCATATCCTCCTTCTCCATTGTCTCCGGGCCCATACCCATGTATCCCTTGCGCGAGATGAAGAAAGTTCTATTCACAGAGGCGGGTATTACTGCAGATTGAAAACGATATAAGTTTGCCACGAAAGATTTCTTCCATTCATCAATGTCATTTCCTTGAGCGCGCGCGATAAGAAGCTGGTCTTCCTCTGGGGACTCCCCGAATTGATGTACGAGTTCATATGCCTTTACTAATTCTGGAGATAGTCTGCGGGCATTAATATCGGCCCCATTCATATCAGCGGACACTGTTCTTATCCAGGCATGTAAAGGGTCACAGCCAGTTGGGTAATCTTTGAAATATTCCTTCCAAGCGTATAGGCCTTTAGCACCCGTCATGTGATGTGAGGAGTCAGCCAGTAGGTCATCACCGGGGACTTCGACGGTGGCGAGAACAGAATCCACATCTATGCCTCGAATTGCCAGCTCAGAATTTTCCTTAATCATTGTACCGAGTGGCCTAATCGAACAACAAGCCGAGTAGCTTCTGTAAGATAATGCGGATGGTTGTTTACTCTCTGGCTGACGCAAGTTCCAATCCTGGACCCAAGTGGGGCAGGAAGAAGATCCTCGACAAAGTCCAGCATCTACTAGTACTTCTAATGAACGGCTTGATTCAATGATGAGTTTCGTAAATTCTGTGTATACCTCTTCTACAGGCTTTTCATAATCGACGTGGACTCTGTCCCTGATTTTCGCGTCCAACAGCCCCAGAAGTGCGTAAACTCGATCCCGAGGCTCGGAGCAGTCGAAAAGTCTGCCCATGTTGACATGGTTGAGCACCGACCACCTCTTATGAGGTGGATAATGGCGGTTCTCACAAGCAAGGGTCCGGCTTCTTGCTCTGTTCAATCCACCATTGAAACCTTCGTCGTCTTTGAAAACTCCCGTGATGTAAGCTGGGGGATTTCTGAAAGTAAATTTGTCTGAAGCTCTGTGGATAGCCTGCGTGGCGAGTCGGAATTGATCGAAATGCAACGTATGAAAGTCCAGGACGAATGTGGCGCTTGTGGATAGAATTAATTCTTGGTGGGTCCAAAGTCGTTGGAACCAAGGATGTCCATAGATAATTTTCATTGCTTGCCAGCGAAGTTCGGGACAGTTCCCGCTCTTTGCGATGTCCAAGAACAGATCGATATGTATGTCTTCCACCAATAATTCCCCCAACAGTGAAACTGCCAATGATTCAGTCTCCCGTGAGTTGAGTTTCCTTTCCTCCTCGACATGACCGAGCCACACAATGACATCTTTCGCGGCGGGATAAATATAGTTCATCAGAGGAATCTGAGAGGATATCTCTTCCTTGTTTGACTGGTCGATACAGATAGCGTCTATCCAAACTGTTGTCTCCCCTAATTCTCGCAGACGCAAAAGAGCAGCATAGCAATTTCTCGTCACATCGTATCGTTTTGAGTCCAAAAGAATCGGGACCTTGATAGTTCCATCTCCCCAGACATATGAAAGTGCTTTGAATGGCGGCTTTTTCAGGAGATTCGCATGTTGAAGGGTGCATTCGATTCGAGAGGAGGGATCGCTGCAGGTTTGGATATCTAGCAGACGAAATGGCCGTGAATTTCGGGTGAATCTGTTTAGAGGCTTGTGGTAGAACTGTTCAACTTGTTCAATGGACATATTATACAGAGCGCAAGCAAACCAAAACAGAAATCCAAGGCCGGCGCTTCACCAAGAAATACTGACGGGAGAACGGGAAGGGACTCACATTTGAAAATCAGAGGAGGCGCGTTGCATATAAGTGACAGTCCGCAGGTTGCGCAGCAGGCTGCATGCGCCCCGGATATTGGTTCTCACGAGCCAACCGTTGCATCGCTGTTGACGCCTGCCACAGCCTGCGTGTCCGGGATCTCGTGCTCACTTTGCAGGGCGCGAGGCGCTGAATATATGTTGTGGAACCACAAGCAACAGGGGTTCGAGCAGGGGGGCAAGACAAAGATATCAACCCCGCGAACTCCCACGCTCTTCGCAGACTTCAAGATTTCAATAGAACCGGTTTCTCAAATTCTTGCTCATTCATGTACAGGGCAAAGTTGCGATGCTGTTTCATTGTTGGGAACAGAGGGTCACCATCGACCAAACTGTTGATTCACCCTGTGGGTCACCTGAATCCCCTCGCTAAAATTACAGCGCTTGGATCCCTGAAATGCCTGTAACCTTCTGCCCTGCCTGACTCATGTTGCAATGTTTTGGAGGTTGACGACTTGATTTCTCAGCTCACGCGGGGTAAGCACTCTATATATATATCTGGTATATAAACTACAGTGTACCAGCGTATACTCAGTTCCAATAATTCATAAGCGAGTTGCAAAGTGTGTGGCCGCCACCATCCTCCTACCTAAATCGGCACAAGAGCTTCCAAATGGAAAAGTACGAAAGCACCACGTGGCACCAGAATTAGCATTGAGGAGGCAGTTCCGAAATAGTAGCATTAAGCGGTTGATTCGCGTTTTCGGGCAGAACAAATTTTGAAAGCTCGATTAAGCGAGAATAGGGGTACAAGTGGATCTGAAATAGGAGGGCTTGGGATTCTATCACAGCGTATCCCGCATGCGGGACCCTCAAGCTTTCCCCGAGGTCAACGGAAGACATCCGAAATTTCATCTATAGGTTGGTCATTTCCTGGCAATCTTTTCAGATCCCTCATTTCAGGTGGAGCTAAACAATTGCAGAAGTGGACTTGGGTATAGGGTTCTGTTTGTCCACTTTGTGAACCGGCTAGAAACTTTTCGTCCACCCTTTCGGCCCTCCGAAATCCCGTTTTTGATTCCCGATCCCTAAACCAATCTGTAAGTTGAACAACTAAGACTTTGCTAAATAGGATCAATTCATGATTTGTCATGTTGCATATCACAACCGTGGAAAATATGGTTCACTAGCGGTTGTCCGGGCGCCAAATCTCCAGTTGGTATATTCCGGGCCTCAAGTCTTCTATTTGGTATATATACACAAGAGTCTCTCAAGGGCAGACCTGAAGGCTTTCACACATTCATTAATTTCTATACAACTATGGTATCCTCAGGCTTCTCTTGATGTATGTTTGCCATTTTAGCCCTCTTCAGTTCTGCAAATGGGAGACATTTGCCTCCAGCCGCTTTGATCTCTGTTTCCAACTTTGGAGCAAACCCAACAAATCTTCAAATAGAAATTTAAATTTCTACTAATCTAGCAACTAATCTTGCCATTATCTTAGCTGTAAGCAATGACTCTGATCTACTATGTTTGATGACTGACTATGTGTTTTTTAGTTGCACGGATGTATTGGCATTGGAGCAGGCTATTATCAATCAACGAATTACGCATCCCTCGCAGGTACCCATGGGTTTGTCGTCGTCTTCCCCTCAGCACATTATGACAACTGATCAGATGTGGGAACCAACAAGTCCCTAAAGCATGGAGGAGCTGGAGATAGCAATGGGCCTCCCAACATGGTCGAATACATGATTACAACCTACAGAGCGGATCCGAAGAAAATTTTCGTGACCGGATCTTCCTCCGGCGGGATAATGACCAACGTTTTATCCGCTGTCTGCCCCGACGTAACCGCCACTGTCTCCGCATACCCCCGCCTTGCTGCAGGCCGCTTGGCAGGATCACCAAGCTACAGCCCAGTTACAGCAAAGCCGGACTGTGCGAACAGCGAGAAATTACCAAAAGTCAAGAAGCTTGGGTGACACAAGTGAAGACTCTCTACCCTAACTATAATGGCACATATCCGCGAATTCAAGTGTGGCGTGACATTGCTAATGGCTTGGATTTCTACCCAAATCTTGGGGGAGAGATTAAAGAGTCGTCGAATTTGGAGGGGTTACCTAGACGGAAAATCTAGCTACACACCCTGCAGTCAAGATATATAAGACGACTCATGATAATGGAACGAAGTTCACTACTTATAGTGCGGTTGGAATTGGTCATACGGTACAGGCGCATAGGGATTTGGATTTAAAGTAGTTCGGTATTGTATGAGGCATATTTATAGGAGACTTATAGACGCGACTTGCCTCTTTGCAAGGTTGCGAAAGAGATTATTTCTCCCCAGTGCCATTGGCACGTTACTGTATAGTAGAATACGTAATTACAACCTGGCAGAAAAATTGAGAAAGAAAATATTGCAATGTGCACCAGGTCAGACATGGTATATTGCAGAGAAGTGTAGCATCAGAGATCGGACAGGACCAGGGAAGTTGACCGGCATGACCAAGAATTTAAGCCTGAAAGAGAGGCACATTTTCAATATCGTGGAAAGTGATGATCAGAGGGTAAGCTACGAGAACGTTGAAAGCCCGCTGACTAATCAGCAGACCAATTTTGCCTAAATGCAGAGAGAGATAGCCTGGAAGGCGACTTAAACAAGTTCAGCATAGGTACACAAGCAACAGCGTCGGTCTCTCCTTTGGGGCCTAGATCTGAAGTGTCTGTTGTACTCGAAATTTGAAATTCCACATTAAAAGATGTCCTCCCAGCCTCAAAAACGAGATCCAACACTTTACAACCCACTTTTAACCTCCTCTCGCCAGTTTCGGCTACTCATTCTCGAGCCTTGCATCAATCCTGGGGAGGTAATTAGATGCAATCTCATCAGTGAGTCCCTGGATTCAGATCTTCACTACGAAGCTGTCTCGTATACATGGGGTGAGCCAGTCAACGAGGCCGAAATAATCGTCAATTTCGTAGCACTTCCCGTGAGGAAGAATCTATGGGAAGCACTACGTCATCTGCGAGCAACTGAGCGACGAACACTATGGATCGATGCTGTCTGCATCAATCAACAAAATGTTCCAGAAAGAAACGCTCAAGTTAAAATGATGAGGCAGATATATGAAAGAGCTCAGAAAGTCGTGATCTGGCTCGGGATCCAAAGCGATGAGAGCAGTCTCGCATTCAATTTTATGAAGTTCATCAGTTCAGATCGCCGAAAGCGTTCTATGAAGTCTGAAAAACTTGACGGAACGACAAAATACGTAGGGCTTCAAGAAGAGCTTGAAGCTGTCAGAAAATTGTGTCAACGGCCATATTGGCAACGTCTTTGGATCGTTCAGGAGGTGGTCGTTTCTCAAGAAGCCGAACTATATTGCGGCAAGGACCACATGCCTTGGGATGACTTCAGCGTATTTCAGAAATGCTTGGAAGATGGTGACATTGAGCTGGATGGCGATGACAGGATACAAAAGAGCTCGGCTTTCAACCTGGATCAATACCGAGTGTATAATCGAACCGACTACTCCAATCTCATTGAACTCCTCGAGCCCTTCTCATCCTCGCTCTGTTTTGAAGTCCGCGACAAGATATACGGACTTGTTGGCTTGGCTAGGGATGCCACGGACTTTCGGATTGACTACTCCCGGTCGTTGTACGATATCTTTATAGATGTCATGGGGCTTCAAGACAAAGAAGATTGCGCATTACTTATGGCATGTAGTCAATTTATCCAGCGGTTGCTCAAAGAAGAAGTTGGGAAATCAGCCCACGAAAACAGTCATTCATTGGAAAGGCTTTTCGGTGCTTTGGGCTATGAAACGGGCATTGTCAAAATGATATCCGAGCTGGACTCGGAACCCACAATGTTCCAAACAATCTCTACGGAGGAAAAACTTTTCATGCCATTGTGCGAAGATTGGAGACGGGATATTGAATTGCTTTTGCAATGGGAAAGAAATGGACGGTTCGCCAAGAGAATGCACGTTGCTTCTGGCAAGCTATCCCATGCGGTAACAGGAGGGATGACATTCAAAGAGTACAAGCGACTCAGGATTTCAAAGTCACAAGGCAGGGATCGTACTCCAATGAAACCGGTTCCATGGGGACAGCTCAACCAACCCATATCTTCTCCCGATCTCGTATTTACGCCCTCGGAAGATAAGATATTGCAGTGCTTCATTGACAGCAGAGGATATGTCGGTGTCGCCTCATGTGGTATTCGTACTTCTGACACCATTTGTCAGTTCTCAGCTTCAGACGTCGTCGCAATCCTACGGTGGCAAGAGGTTCACTCTTGCTACTCACTTGTTGGGAGTGCTGTATTTCCAATAAGGCGGAACGAGGCTGATACACCGGTTTTGAAGGACCCCAATGAGACCTTTCAATTTAGCGTGCCAACAGCTGAGGAGTGTGTGAAGCCTATCAGTTTATGGCTCACTGCATACAATTTACAGAGGCTCACCCAATAAATGAAACTTAATGATTTATAATATATCGCTAAAGATATCGAAGGAAACTCTCGCGCATTAGCAAAAGGCTCCGTTAAGCCTATAATGACGTTGTCAGCTTGCACGCAATGAGGGATGCAGGTCGAGCTGTTCACCATGCCTACCTGTTTTAGTGCAAGGTAGCAAAAGGTTTGAAATTAAGTGAACTGAAATGCTCCTAAGTGTACTTTGTTGCGGAAATTCTGATATCTATCCGGCAGCAATTGTTGATTCCACACTTCGGAACGCCTTCTCGCATAGTGTGCTCGAATGGAAAGCTGCAAGAAATCAGACTGCGAAAGCCACCAAACTAGGAATTGACGTTGGAATCTTCCAATCCTTCTCGCGAAAGATCAAAAGGACCAATTCCCTTAGTAGATACTTATTTTTGCCCCTTCTGTATCTGTCAGTTGGTTTGTCGGGTACCTGGACAACGAGCCATCCCACTTTTACCCCTGATTTAGGCGAGATGGTCCCAAAATCCTACCATCCCTTTCTGAATCTTCTCCGACGAGAGAATCATCACCTCTCATCACGGCCGCCGCCAAGAGGCAGAATCGGCGGAATTTTTCGATACCACAACTGCAGGCAACAACACTATGATTGAATCATGGAGTTTAATTGTCTCCACCTAAAACATTCAAAGACATAGCGAAAAACTTGACATTGGATAGCTTCTACCCGTCTATTTAGCTCTAAAATTTACCAGATAGCATAATTTTGTGATACCTCTGATTATGAGGGCCTGCTTCAATAATGCCGGAACTAATTTTTAAGGCCGGACGTTTTGGTTGTATGGATGGAGGTTGATAGGCCTGAGCCTCTGGGTAACTCCAAATGATTCGAAACGAAACAGTAACGGAAATCGCGTTTTGATATCTCTCCAGTGAAAGTTGAAGCGAGGGAACAAAGGCAAAAGGTACGGCGCTCGTTGCCCAGAGTCAGTGTAGGTCATTCTGCTTTACCAAGTTTGGGGATCTTGAGGTTCTAATGGTGACATTCATGCTGTAAGCACTGGGGCACTCAGGAGTCTCGGCTCGGCCCCGATCTTTTGGCGAGCGAAGCCCCTATTCACGAGAACGGGAACGCCGATCGAAAACTCAAAAATAATCCACTGTACTGTACACTCCTGAACATGGAGGTTTCGATCTAGACTCAGTTAGAAGGCTGCTGACCACAAAACATGCAAGGCATAAATTTTGGAAGCGTTGCAGAAATGAAAGTTGTTGCAGCAGCGGAGTTGAGTGACTGGGTTGCAGTTACCAAACGAACAGCATAAACGGTTCACTATTCTATTGACTGGCTTATCCACATGCATCGCCGCAATATTATACAGTAATATTGCTCTGAAGTTCATTTCTAGCTGCCCTTCTCAGAACAACGCAGCAGTCATACCTAACACCACAACCAACATTCGCGGCTATGTAGCAGTATTGAAGTGACGTCACTATACGCCACTATACCAATATCTCAATTCCCACACGTCACGTAAACTGGAGCTTATTAGCGCTGCGCTACTATGTATATATATGCCCTCAAGTCCTTGACTTGAAGGGCGGGAGATGTTTGTGGAGGCGAGAAAGAAACAAGAGGAGCGAAAGGGAGGGGAAAAGATAATGTACGTATTGTACTGTGACTTTGAGAGCAAATCCCATAACCGAGACGATGTAGATTTATAAAGAGACCATTATGAGATAAGTTGATATCCGTATTGGATGAAGTGAAGAAAGTTTATCACCGGAGCGAGTTGGTTCCGTTGCTTCACTCGAGCGCTTCACAAGCCAGCGTAGTTAACTCAGAGTTCTCAAAGAAGAGAGAGATAAAAAGGAATATTTAAATCGTCTCCAAGATCCTTTCCAAAGTAGTATCAGCAATAATTAATCTTCCGGCGAACCCTGAAAATGACATGTGTCCGGGACAAATCCAGACAAACAACAACTTCCAGCTTCCGCTTCTTTCCCCAATTTCGGCCTTGTTCCCAGGACAGGGTCATCTCAAGCAAGCCATTGGGTATCGATAATATCGATGATAAGATCGTGGTCCCGCCTCCTTTCCCCATTCGGGACTGCCCCCTTTCGCTTCCTCGCCAATCCGGCACAGTGCAGCCACAGGGACCTCGACGAGTCACGCCGTCAGCAGCTATCAATGTATTTTTTTGACTTGATCTGGGATCTAACAATGCACTTTTGAGAGTTGGTAGAGGCAAAATTGAAACATGAAAGTAGAAACCTCGACTTCGAACTGGCACATGGCTAAGTTTCCGGAATGGCTTGGCAGACTTTCCGCCATCCTTCAGCTCGTTGTATGACTTCAGTAATCACCAGTGCTGGGCGCTGAGAGAAGCAGGAGTCGAGAGCTCATTGATTGCATTGCTTTGCCTTGCTAATTTTGCTCGCACTTTTTTTTGTTCTTTCTTCAACTTTCCCGTGACACTGACTCCCGGAAGTCAACTCACCTGCGGCTGACTTTCCCTACTCACGCCCCAGATAATGTCTCTTCCCAATCTGCACCCCCTGCGCACGGAGGATATCATACGCAGTCACATGATGGAAGAAGAAGTTTGGCAGCGCCCAATTAAGCGCGTAATCTGTTCTTCGTTAGCTGTTGTCCTCTTCTCCATCCCCACTCCCGCTCTATTCTCTCAAATCTGATGTTCAACATACTCTTAGCAGTGAACTTTATCTCTCCAGATCCAGTCTTGAGAATGGCTTCCGCGTCCTCGTCTTTGTTGACGTCTTCAGGCTGTTTCACGTTAACACGATTTCTCAGTACAAGGGGAGGGAGTCTCACCTTCACACTCTCCAACACCTTAATAGTCTTAGCAATCCGCTCAAGCAGCTCAGGGAAAGTCTTCTCGTTGTCCTCGAAAGGAACAGGCTCGATCTTGCCAACACGGACCGCGAACCCCTTGCTCGTATCCGAGACCCTCTGGACTATTCTCATGTCAGCTATACCCCCTCATTATCTATTCTCCCCCTCCTCGTTAATTGTCATATTTCACTTTCTCATACTTCCTCCATCATCTCTCACCACGACCTAAGCTAAGCAAAACAAAAAGAGAGGAAATGGAAAGAGGATATGTACTCTGGTACGCCAAAGGCTGCATATCCTCAATCAACCGCGCATCAACCAAGCTCTGCTCCGTCACCGCGTTGCTGGAATCAGCTGCGTGCGCGATGCCGTGTTCCAGGAGCTTGGACAGGATGTTGAGTTGGCGGATGAAGACGGGGACGGTTGTTTCGTAGAGGGTAGGCATTTTTGCTTTTGCTTTAGTGGAGGGGATGTTTGGGAGGGTGGTAGTGTGGGAGGGGGGTTGGGTTTAAGTGGAGTGAAGTGAAGGGAAGGGAAGTGAAGTTGAGGTGAGATGATGGTGAGATGGTGGGCGTGTTGACGAGGCTGTGAGGTTGGCGATGAAGGTTTGAGGTTGGGGAAAGCGAAGTCAGAAGTCGAAAGTGTAAGGTTGAAGTCAAGAACAGAAAAGAAAGTGCGAATGAAGCTCACTTTAAGCCCGACCTAGACTCACGAGAAGTTCCTCATTTATCCAAAACTTACCTCATGCACGCATGCCCCCCTCTCCCAAAGGGGAAAAACGAGGCTGTTAATTGTGAAACTCGAATTTGTAATCCGCCTCAAAAAATATCATGCTTGCTAAGCAGTTTGATCCTCACCGCCTCTTTCGAATTGCCAATTGCCCCGCTGCCCGGTCACGTTACTTGAAGGGAGGGGTTTGAGAAGGCAAGCATTGTTGAGGGAATCCCGAGTACGAACGACTTGCAATTAACCCATAGAGGTGTTTGAGTTGTGGCTTTGGAGGTGGGGTGATGATTGGATGGCAGCCTCTGTTGCAGGATGAGGAGAGAACCTAAAACCACGCACCGTAAGACGGGAGAAAGGTTTAGAGTTCCGAGCGGGAGTTTTTGGATGAGTTCCGTAATCAGATTTCAGGCGTGAGAGTTTGAAGCGAGGGGATTGGCGGACGAGTGTGCTTAAGGATTCTTGATTTGAGAGCAGCGTTACACCAGGGGAAGGCAACCTCGGCAGCCTTGAGATGGCAAAGCTTGACAAGGGAGGGATGGGACATTGAAAGAATATGATTTACAGTATGGTATGGAGAAGACAAATATAGCGCGGTAGTCATTGTGGTCTATGGACTTGAGAGCAGAGTTTGCTAGGTTTGGCTTGACATGGCTTCGTTGCAGCCTCGTTCGAGCTCGGTAATGGAGACACAGAATCTTGATGTGAAGTCAGGACAGTTGTGAAACTGAAGCGTGTCTTCATCTTGATTTGAGTGTGGTACAATACTATACAATGCTCTGGCCCCCACCCTTCTTTCCCCTGTCTATGCCCCTCCCTCTGACCCCTTCTCCCACCCAAAACATAAGAAATCTCGACAACAATGTGTCTTGTCTGTAGCCTCATCATCCCGAGGCACAATTCCCAATTATACAGGTATATCCAATCCCCATCCATTGCCCACACCACCGATGGCTAGACCAGCCAGCTCCCACCCATTCCCAGTTACAAATGGAGGACTTGTAAGGCAGTCGAAACACGCTAAACCGCAGCAAACGCAGTGCCATAAACGGCACAGAGGGGAGTCTTTCTTCTCAAAATTGCCCTTCGCCTGAACGCCATGCACCATCCCAACCCATTTTTTGAATAGAGAACAAAAGAAAGAAAGTTTGATCCGGAGAGATGTTGTGAAGGGTGTATTTTACATCGCAGCCTGATAAGCTGGAGGCGGAGAATCCTCCCTCTCGCCTTGAGATTGGCTCCAGAAGCCTTCTCTTGCACCCTTCACATTCATATCCTGTGCCTGACGCGCGATCTCGTTGGCCATTTTGAGGACCCAGGCTTGTGAGAGGATGCTACCTGCTGCGGTTGGGTCGGAGGAGAGGATAGGTGCTGGTGTGTATGTAGCTGGGACTTTCTCTGTTGGGTATGGAGAGGAATGGAAGGGGGGTCTATGTTCGCGGGAGAAGATCGGGACCGTGGGATCGGATTTCTCGATCGAGGGGGAGGGATCGAGGATCGATTGTTCGGGGAGGATATTTGAAAGTGCTGGTCGGGCTGCCAGACGTGCTTTCTGTGGCGAGGCAATATCGGCATTGCTTTCCCGGAAGCGAACTCTTTGCGGAGAGTGAGGAGGGTCGATGATGTTATCTTCTGGTTCCTCGGGAATGCGAGTTGGCATGATTGGTTCTGATGCTGGTGCATCAGAGGAGGTCTCGCTCTCGCCAGATTCGCTGACAAGATCGTCTGTTGTCTTTGGTTTGCGGAGATTGACAACTCTGGTCTTTTTCTTGCGCATATGTGATCTCGAATGCCTCCCTGCTCCAAGTCCAAGACCGCTAGTGGCAGAGTGCATGCTGACAAGTGAGGGCCGTGACGGCAGGTGACCATGTCCATCATCTGACCCTCTGCTGAATGTGTATGTTGTAGAAGTCCCCAGTGATGAATTGGATCTCAACAGGCTGGGTGTTGCTGGTGTAGAGCTCCCTGCTGAATCACTTCGTTCTGATGGCCCGGCCCATGCTCGGAAAACTGCGTCTCGGATGGAAGGTGTAAATAATGATAAAGTTCGGTGGGAATCTGTTAGAGCAGCTAGTCGAAGCAGGTTCTTCTGCGAAAATAATGAATGGATTTCCGATCCACCATCCAGTGATAACGAGGATATCTCGCTCGCATCCAAAACGTTCCCTCTCGAATCGACGGCATCTTGTGGTGGGCTAGAAAACGGATCCACTGCAACTTCCTCCTCTTCTTGTTTCACGGCTTGTGCCATCTCTTCTTCTTCCTTCGCTCTGTATTCTGGACACCATAACCGCAGTGAAAGTCTGTGTATAATCGCCGGTAACTCGTCCATCATCAACGTCCGTAATTGCATCTCAATCTCTTTTTGTAAATAATTGCGGACGAACGGTATCGAGTCAAAGGTCGATGAGACCTTGAGGGATTCGAGAGGATCATTTCGGAAAACCAGGGTCAACCCTTTTTGCCTCGAGAAGACCAATATTATAAAAGCAGACAGCTTGATCTCCGACAAGGTAATTTGTAATGGTATCGTCAAGCCAGAGGAGGCTGCTAGCGGCTGAGGTGAGGTAAAAGATGGCTTCGAAAATAAATATGTGTTCAAGGGGTTCGCCTATGTTTACATATATATTAGCCATCTGTTATAGCAAGTGGAGAAGTCGTTGCACGCGCATCCTTGCGCGACATAATTTGCAACTTCCAGCGCATTCCACATCAGGGGTGAAAACTTTGCAGAAGGGGATGTGTGGTGTTTGTGAGGCTGTGCGACATACTTGGACTCGAGTCTTCAGAGTCAAGAAGGCATCTCCAGAATAGCACATCTTAAAGATCCCCCTGAACCTATCCTCTGCCAAATCCCCAATCTCCAGTATCTCCAACTCGGGAGGCACACTCCCCAAGTTGAGCTCGTTGACTAGAATATCATCGACTATTATCGGAGGCTTCGGGGATTTATTGAGGGCGGTTGTGAGCAACTCCTGGGCCCGTTCGTAAAAGTCCGCATCTGCCGTTAACGGCGACCAGTTGAAATTGAATGCCATTAGATATTATTGTGAAATCGTGAGGGGGGGAGGATTGAAGGCGTGGAGGTCGTGATGTCGTGATGTCAATTGTATTCCTCGTCGCGTGAGGAATCTGCCGGCCGGGCCTGACCTGGTGATAAGGGCGCAGGATCAACTTTGCTGACGGCGACCGCAACGGCGTGCACTCGTATCAATGAAGATACAAGTCGTCGAGTATGGCGATGCGGGGAAGATGGGCTTATTATCGTGTCGCCCGGGCGATGATGGGTGCGGAGGAGAGGGTGCAGAGATGGAGTGATTGTTTAGGGCGAGCGGAAGGGCAGCGCAAAAGCTTCTTTCCAAGTTTGCGCGCAAACTCGTTTCCTTGTGATCCCGAGCGAGCAGCTTTTCCCTGCCGGGCCCGCTTAGCTCCGAACGCCGTCATCGCCTGAGGCGCGCATAAAATTTGTGCGTCGTGCATAATCTGCTCCGGTTCTTTCCTAAAATCAAAGTGAGTCGTGGGTCGTGAGTCGCTCGCTACGTCCACCACTCACAGACAGCGCAACCCAACCGCAACCGCAACCGCAACCACCCAGAGACATCGATATCGCCCTTCTCCTGTGGCGTCAGCCTTCTCCTCCCTCCCCTTTCTTTGCTCAGCCTCGCCGCCCCGTCTGACGTCTGACGTCTCACGTCAACACGTCAACACGTCAACACGTCAACACGTCAACACGTCAACACGTCAACACGTCAACACGTCAACACGTCAACACGTCAACACGTCAACACGTCAACACGCCAACACGTCAACACGTCAATACAACAACACTGCAGGTGGTAGACTTCAACCGCAGACAGCAATGGACGCTGAGCAGATTCCGCGCATCCCTCAGAGTGCTTGCTTACATTATCTAAATGAGGGAGCTGCGAACATCGTTTACACAATCGAAGTCACTGCCCCAACACCACCAGGGAGTATTCTTGAGGCATACGGCCCAGGCACACCGCCACCAGAAGTAATAGAGAGTTATCTCGATCAAGAATTTGACGATCCTAAGGATTTGGAGGCGGTTGAGAGTACGTATTGTTCCTGTCCTTTCGCTTCTCTGCAGCCCTCAGCATGCGACCCTTTTTCACCCTTGTCCGTGTCACACCCCCGTCAAATCACCGCTAATATCACTTCAGACAAATTGCTCCGTTTGAGGAAGGACCTCCCTACAACCCTTCCTGTTGCAAGATCTCAAGAAGCTTGGGTCCGAGTCATCGAGCCTTTGTTTTTGCCGGACCAAGTCGTCCGCCAATCCTTGGTATGCCTGGATCCGCATCTCATTGACCGCATGAAGGTGCGGCTCATACACTGGGAGAATCACCCAACAGAATATAAGAACCCCCGACCGTCCAGACGCAAAGGCGCCTATCTTGCAAACGATGAATTCGGACTTCTGATCACCGACATGAGCGCATGCACGTGACCATTTGTCAATCTGGATCTCTGCTAATTATCTCATGCAGGTTCTTCAGGGGAGATAGTGATTGAGTTCAAACCAAAATGGCTCGCTCAATCTCCGTCGGCCCCCAAAAATGCGGTCCGCTGCCGCCAATGTGCTCGATTCGCCCGTACCAACGCAGACCTCGCCCGCAAAGGCGACCCTTTGCAGAAATCCTGGTGTCCCCTCGATCTCAATATCCACGACGGTCTTCAACTTGCCAAAGCCATCTGGACACCAGAGACATTCGAGGAGATGTTTCCTCGCTTCTCATCATGGCTCTCGGGCAACACCCTCCTCCCTCGCCTTCGCCAGCTACAAATAGAGCTTGATCCGGTAGGTGTTCTGGAAAACGACAAGAATGATGAGCAATTCCGTGCAGCGATGACTCTCAGAGATTGCACTGTGTTTGTTCGGTTCCCTGAGAACGCCGAAGACGATCAATATGGAATTGAAGCGCGTATTGGTGATCTGGATTTGAAAAATCCGAATAAGGCGCAGTATTGGAAGGACACGGAGAATGCATTGATTGAAGAAGGGTGGTATACTGGGACGGAGAAGAAAGAGGATCGCCAACCATTGACTTGTCAGCTTTCGCCGAAACTTGAAGATGCCATGAGAGAAATGCTCTTGTCGAACAGCTGAGGAGCGAATTTCATCCTGGGATGTGCATCAGCGCGATGCATCATGTAATTTCGAGGTTGACTGACGTCCGCTCTCCTCCATTGGAGATACCCTATTATTGCTCAGCATTATTCGAACAGATATAAGCCTTCGTTTTCTTCTGCGAGGACGAGGCGAAAACGAGACTCCCAAGTGTACCGGGGAAAGTAACGGTTGTTTGGTCGATATGAAGTGTGTTGGAGTTCGAGCACATTGGTATAGAGGCAAGAAACCCTGTTCTGGCGAGCGTTCCATCATACTGATACGGTCCCAGAATGGCATCTTCTCAGACAAAATCTTTGGTCGGAGACTCATCTAAAATTGACTATCGAGGGGCTTTTCAGATTGCATTCATTCATACGCTACCGTATCATACCTCGGCTTTTCTTCTTTCTTATAGTTCTAGTGTTTGAGCAACTCGTAGCCCAGAAGATAGATCTTCCAAAATTGATGCCTTGAAGCCAAGCTGTCACTTTATTCGATCACTGTTCGAGAGCTCGGTGGTTCCGCCACCTATCAATTACTCTCAGTCGAGCGATCCATTCCCAACAAGACGGTTCTTGCATGTTCCACGATTCCAGAATGTTTATTTCCACGAACTGTGCCAGCAACCCGTTTGCACGACATTTCCCCACATGAAGTCTTCATGCGAAGCGCTCGCAGCTCGCGAGTTTCATATCCTCGCAACGCTTTCCACATCTCAGAATGCCATTCGAGCCTCGCCATCAACATGACGATCGAGAAACTTGAATGCGAGAATGCGACTAAACGGCTTCTCTTCACAAGTTCGTATTCAAGCTCGCAAGACCGAGTGCTCGTTGCTTACCGAAAAGGGGATGAAATCCTAGCCGAGATACTGAGCCGGGTCTGACATCTGCGGGCGTGAGAGTTTTTAGTGTACACTTCGTCCATTGTATTGCTCAAATGTTCAGATAGCAAGAATGGTGGTGCTGTCGCAAACATCGCAAAATTCCTTCATCGCGAAATGTTCGAACCGAGATGCAGTGCTCGGAAGCACAATTCTGTTGTACTGGAGGCCAAGCACAAGATATAAATCCTTCATCTTCCCTCCATTGAAGAAGCAGAATTATTCTACCTCACATCAAAACATCATTCGCAACCTCCATTTCCACCATCTTGTATTATCATCTTTATCCTCAACATTATCGGCCGTGCAATCCCAGGTCCAGCGGGCCGAGCGTCCGTGTTGTGGGGAAGGGGTTGAGTGGTGGGAATGCTGCTGGCGCTGGGACAGGAACTGCTGCTGCGGGAGCGGTGACGATGGGGAGTGCTAAGGCTGAGAAGGCGGGTGCCGCTGGTGGGGCGACGAAAGCGGCGGGGAAGAAGACTGATGTGAGGGTGTGAGGTGTTGATGAAAGTTTTGTTTAGCGGGTTAGGGTAGGAGGTGACGCCGAGGTCGAGAAATAGGAGTGGTAGGGAATTTGATGTTTCGTTGTATGCATAAATTTGAGGGTTTATCTACTTTTAATGTTTGTTTGAGTTTGCCTGCACGTATAGCGACCAGCTCGTGAGAACCCCAGGTCTCTCAATGTCCCAATAATATTGGGATATTCAACATACGGCTACTCTTTTGACTGTATGAGGTCTGAAATGGAAACTGGCTTTGATGGATACCCTGCTGTTGCGTTGAACACTTTATCATCAGTGTCCGTCAAGTCTGTAGCAATCTTTAGCAGCATTACCCCTTCCTCTTTACTACACGTGCCTTGATTCTTTATCCCTGACTGGAACACTAAAGTCCGGTTCTTAGCCTTGCACCAACTCCTTATTGTTCCACCTCAACTAGGATACTGACTTCTGCTTCATGCAATTCTTTCAATCTCAAGCTCCCAGCCCACTTGGTAGAATGGCCCCATCTCCTCCAAGATTCACTAACTCCCAATGTCCCCAACTCAGCACAAACGCTTAAACCTCACATTTACAAGACTAGAGAATCTCAATAATCCGGACCATTTGAGAAATCCCTTGATCCCCTCAATGCTCACAAGCTTCAAATGTGTATCGCTCTTATATAATGTAGCCATGTCAAATCTTATTGTCCCTCAAGATGTGGAAGAATGTTCTGATGTCAACTCCATAACGTCCATAGTAATTAACGGATAATGCATCCAAGCCAAATGTTATTGTTCTTTACATTATGAAACAATGATACGATGCTTTCAAGCCTCTCAACACTGTGATGTCTATGACACCTTTCGTACAATGAACCTGACTCACATCTCATTGTACCACACAACCTGGGACAATGCTCGTACTCCTGTACCCTCAATATCCAAGACCAGACTTATCTGGTACAATGAACCCAACCCAAATCGCATTGTACTACATACTCTGGGAGAACGAACCCGGACCAAACCTCATTATCCCAAACAGCTTGGACCAGTCGTCTAATGTCATCTGTTGCCTCTTTGAGGCCAAACGGCGCTAATACATCACCTTAGACAAAGATTAGACGAAAATCGACGAGTCTATTAGCTATGCATCGCTCTCTAAGAATTCGTCGTACCAGCCCGTCCTGGTCGAATATAATAAAGCCATGCAAATATTTCCACCCCCAGATATAATAAATCCCCTCCCCTCCCCTATAAACAATGCAAATCTGAAACGCATCGCAGGCAAATATATATCCCCCCACATCCAACCTCACTCCCTGCACGCCAATATCAGCCTCAACCTCACTCGTCTCTTCCCTTTCCCTTATCCACCTTCCCCTTCCCCTTCCCCTCACCCATCCGATCCTTCAACCCAGCCTTGTTCTTCTTACTGGGATCCTTCCAAGTATAAGCACGTTTGGGGACTCCTCTTGTCCGACGCGCTGCCCGTTTCGTCTGACCTCTCTCTCCGCTCCCACCCATTGTACCAAGTCCAGCCGTCGAATGTCCTACACCAGCACTTCCCATTGTACCAGGATCTCCCGTCGAATGAGAATCGTCCATTGTACCACCTTGATGCGTAGAATGAGATTCCATTGTACCAGCACTAGTGGAACTTCCCTCCCCTCCATTCCCAGCAGCTGCCGTTCCCCCACCAGGCCGCAAGCCCATCTCCTTGGCGCGCCTTAACCAGCTCATAAGTGGCGTATCCGTGGTGCCAGAGCAATTCATACCAGGCTCCTTGCGCTCTGCATTCTGCTTCCCTTTCCCCTTTCCGTTGCCCTGCTTGCGCTTCTTGCCTTGAGGTTGAGTAGGAGCAGGGCCAGAATGAGCAAAGTGCATCAGGGCATCGAAATCTGTGGTAGGTGTAACGAAGCCGCGGCGAAGAGGAGTGTATTTGGGGACGATATTGGGAACTTCATTGTCCGAAGCAGAGGCGGGAGAATGAGCCATTGTTGGTAAGGGGCGAATGTTCGTGGTTGGCTGGGACAATGAGGGGCGAACCGTCTGATATTGAGGCGAAGGGGAGGGTGAAAGACCGGACGACATTTGGGAATCGCTCTCGTCCACGTTAAAGAAGAGAGAGGGGGTGTTACTGCCTTTCGGCTCGGGTGTGCTGGATTCGGTCGATGTACCCTAGTTAAGGATTGTTAATGTCCAATGTTTAAAGGGGGTGTAAAGGAGGTAGGTGGAAAGTGAAAGAGATAGGCAGACAGGAAGAAGTTCGGTTTCCGCTGAACTTTCGATCAGTCTGATGTTTTGGGATGGGTGGAAGGTGCACATGGGACGGGGCCTTACCTCAGAATCAGAGCAAAAGACGAGATCAGACGGCAACGGTCGTCTGATAGGCTTCAAATCGTCTGAAGATTCGACAAGAGCCAATCTGGCGAAGGCTTGTGCACTAAGTGGCTTCTTTTTCATTGTTCCAGAAGCGCTGGTCGAATGAGTTGTGACATTGGGCTGAGAAGGATTCGTGCTGCGTGAAGAGCCGTTCATTGTGCTAGCTGGCTGCATACATTCGCGGCCGAACTTAGACGGAACCTGGAAAGGAGAGCATTAGCATGAAAGTGAAAAAGTAAAAGCGGCGTTGGATGTTAGAGAACCTCACCATCTTGCTGCTGTCTTCTGCAGCCATTGTCAATGTCCCAGGTAAGGCTAGTCGAATGAGCACTTTGTGCAGGATATCAATGTTCGTAAGAATGCTGCGACAATGAGGATACCTGAAGTCGATGTACCAGACGGATGACGAACAATGAGGATAGATGATACTGCTGAATTTCGTCTCGCCTTGCTGCCAATGTTCCAGCCTTGGTGGTACAATAAACGGGACTTGGGAAACTCACCTTTGTAAGGCCGGCATAAGCTGAAATTCAGCGGCTTCACTTTGCTCAATATACGAGGACTGTCTCGTACAATGAGGGGAACTTTATTAATTAAGAACGCTTCACCACGTGTTGACCTGTGCGCCTTGAATATCGGAACGAGGGACGAACAATGATGTTGAATGTTCGTGGAAGGTCACGAACAATGAGAATGAATAATAGAGGGGAATGTGGAGGTGAAGGGAATTTAAATGTTCGTGAAGAGTCACGAACAATGGGAATGAATGAGGGAGAGGGTGTAAGGGGTAAAGGGAATGAGGTGGTGGAGGCCAATGTCCCGCGTTGTTGTGGTGACATTGGAGGATTGTACGAGGGAGGAGAGGTACAATCTGGGATTGTATGGCCCATGCACCTGCCACTTTAATTGTCCCTAGTTAAGGTCGTACACTTAATGCACATGCGGCTTTGGCGGGGATGACCCTCGTATATTCAGCCATGTGACTCCCACATACAGACATACGGTGATATTCTTGCTATCTTGGGACAATCTATAGCAATGCGGCTTATCTCGCACATGTGGAATTGTACCAAGTTACGAAGTACAATAAAGAGGACGAACATGATATATTCATTGATCATGCCAACCACGGACATTGAAATAGCATCTGCACTTGTAGCATTGTCCTGAATGTACAACACCAGCTGGAACTTTGAAAGCATCATCGAGGTTGAATATCAAGCAACGCGAGGAACATTCAAAGGGGCACAGATTTGAATGTCAGCTTCAAGTTGAACATTGAAAGTAACACTTGACTGGATTACACCATGATGGTAAGTCCTCACATCATCAAAAAAGAACACAAGCATAAAGACAAAAAGCAGCAAGCAAAAGTCAAAGCAACCCATTAACTCCACGCCACAGCAAACGAGGCCCATCTTCCATAGCTACTCTAAATAGCCATGATCTCATCAATCGTCTCCAATGCATCCCATCATGTCCCAACAAATAAGTTCTATGGTCCGAAAAATCAAGAGCGCCAAGCAATGCAATGCAAAACGCCTAAAGAGATCCCAGACAACAGAACAATCTATCTTACATACACTCAAGCTACACCTGCAGCAGCAAAACTCAACAGAGAGCCAGCAGTCAATCCAGCTACAAGATTGACAGCCATGAATCCACCCGCTGCCTCGCGTTCTCCGTCTTCAATGTACTCGCCTGCGCCCATCATGCAGGAGCTGCTGAGCCAGCCGTTCGTGCCGCCGAAACCGAGCTGTACGACGAACAGGTAGAAGGCATCGCTGTTGATCTTCGCACCGCGGCCTTGGATGTTGCAGAGCAGATACAGGGGGAGGAAACCAATGCGGAGGATTGCCAGGATGAAGAGCACGACGGGTCGGTGGCGCATGGAGAAGGGAAGGAGGGTGACGAGTCGACCCATGAGATCACCCAGGTTCCAAACCAAGAAGCCAAGGGGGATGAAGGCCGCTGAGCGGAAGAGTCGAGGTGCGCGGTCCTCGGGGAGCACGGAGACGATCTTTTGCGTGAAGACGGGGAAGAACATTGTTACTGTGAAACAGAGGAAGACGGATGCTGCGAGCCAGTGGAGCTTCTTGTATAATGTCCACATGCTGACTACCTTTCGTTTCGCCTGCTCTGCCTCCTCAATGCTGGTGATTGAGGTCATCATCTGGCTCTCAAGAATGCGGTTATGCTTTCGAATGAGAGGAATGACGGCGAAGAGGCAAATGACGCTGATTGCAGTGGCGGTCAGGAAGTATATGAAAGCCGAGGTTGTATTCTCATGATTCATAACCGCATCTTCCTCCGTGGCATTCGCCCAACGATCTGGAGCCGGAACTGCTAAGACTGACAGAATCTGGGCAACAGACGGGAGTACACCAGCTACGGCTTGTCCTGTCATGATCGCCTGAATGTATTCCGGTCTGCCAAAGCTCGACGCGAAAGCAAAAGCACCATTCTGGCAGAGCCCAGTTGCGATAGACGTAGAGAACACCATGATCAAGGTGAATACCAAGTACCCAGTCGAAGATACCATTCGGAAGTATGAGGTCGAGACGGACAGAAGACTGAACACAATGATGTTTATGCCGAGGGAAGAGAGGATTCGCTTCGGGTAGGAAGCTTTCGATTGCAGCTGGGCGAGAATGAGCATCGAGCTGAGGTTTGTGACACAGCCGACTGAGATGATCGCGGACTGGAAGTGGGCGAGGATGTTCTCGTTGTCTCGGAATCGAGTTTGAAAGTAGGGCGCTGCTGCTAGGAACATGTTCCTGTGCGAAGGTCAGAGTTGGAATCTTTCCTCAAGGACTTCGGCCACCTACCAGGCCCAAAGCATAGCAATTCCCAACAGCAAGAAGATGCAGTACTCGAACCACGAGAATGGCTCCCCGTCGTCCTTCTTGTCCTGCTCAGTATCGCTGTCCTGACTCTCCCGATGATCCGGCATGAAGAGGACCGGTCGGTGGACATCCTCTTCGATCGTACTGGCATCGCTGAGAGGCTCGTAGTTCTGCTCGGCATCCTTGTTGAACATCGCGCGGACGCGGTCGAGGGTGGTTCTGGACTCCATGGTAGCGACAGGATGACCACGCATAGAAGTCGTGCTATCGTTGTTGCATTGATGGTAGAGAAAGGAAGAGTTACAGCAAGTAGAATAAGGGTTGAAGAGTTTTCATTAGAAGGCGTGGTGAATACAGCCTGCCTGATTCACCTGGATGACTTGACGTTGTTGATCCAAGCCGTGTCTCGGACGGATTAACTGCATTCCGTGACCACGTGATATTGCATTTGTTCCACTTCCGTCTGCCCTTGCAAATATCTTCAATGCATCGAATCGACTCCTCCTTGCCTCAAAACCCGCACCTGCAAGGATCATTATAGACTCACTAGCGGGCCGCTCTCTCTCATACAAATTGTGGTGGTGAAGAGTGACCGCGTAACATGACTGAAATTCGATGCGATGCAAGTATGTTATGCATTGTTCTACCCGCAACAAAAGTTCAGACACGATGAGTAGACATCAGAGAAAATTATTCCCTCTTTTTTGAGATACCCTTGATCAGAAAAGGGCAGGATGTGGTTGATATTCGACCTCCGCCATTGATTCGTCGCCCTGGCCATCGAGGCGCATAAAAATCGAGGGGTAAGAATCCTCGAAGGGAACAACCCTCGACAGGCCGAGCTGGCACCATCGAACCCGCATCTGGTTCTGTGAAGGGTCCATAATCGAGCGGATGCATCTCAGTGTTTGTTTACAGCGTGCGCAGAAATCTAGGGTCGATTCTACCAGCTTTAGGGACTGCGGAATCAGGGCAAGTCTTCCCTGGGGTTCGCCCAGAGCTTACGGAAGGCCTCCTTCGATACATGCCAAGAATAATCAGAAGGCTAACTCAGATGAGCATAGTTGTTCCAACCGAGTTCAGTGAGATTTTAGGATCGTCGGTAAGACGACGAACAACATCGACAGGAAACGCAAGACACAGGTCGCTCCAAGTACTCTCACGTACCCTTTTCGATCAGGTCAAATAAATAAGTCGCCCCGTTTTCAAGCTTGCTTTTGAACCACATTTCCGACATGGATTCGATGAAGGCTCATGTGGTAATGGGCGCTTTGCCTTTCGTCAGCCATTTTACTCCTATGAGAACCATTGCTCAACACCTCGTGGCTCTTGGATACCAAGTAACTTTTATCACTGCCGGACTTTTTCGACAAAGTATTGAAGGTATCGGAGCAACTTGCTTTGTACCAGCAGAGTGGGAAGATTTTGAGGAATCCTCAATGTCAAAGTCCGCTCAGAAAATACCATCGACCGGTCTAGTCCCAGGTGTGAATTTTATGGCCACAAGATGGTTTATGAATGCCATTCCACTTCAATTCAAGGCTGTGCAGGAGATACTCGCATCAAGCCTTGCCGAGAACCCAAGCAGGCCAGTGGTTCTGCTCCCAGAGTCGAGCTTTTTGGTCAGCCTTCCCATCCTTCTTGATGCCCCCGGATTCCGCCCAAAAGGGGTGATCAGTGTTGGAAATATCCCAATCTTGGATGTGAACCCTGACACACCTCCTCCCTCGTCTGGATTACGACCAGATTCATCTCCAGAAGGTCGGAAACGAAATGAAGACATGAACAGAGCCTACCTCGAAGCAACAGCCGTCCTACGCGCAGAACTTAACACGATCCTACGAGGGCTCGGGGCCAAAGAGACGGACCAATATCGACAAAATGCCGTGCTGAAACTTTCGACTCTCTTCCTGCAACTTTGCCCCCCGTCTCTTGAGTATCCTCGAAGGGACGCTCCAGAGACTCTTCGCTTCACTGGAGGACTTCCCAGACCCAGCAAGCAAAGTCATCCATCCGAACTTCCACACTGGTGGAGCAGCGTTGTCAACAAAGGAAAGACTCACATCGTGGCCGTCTCACAAGGAACCATAGCGACGAAGCCCGAGGCCCTTATCATCCCCACGCTTGAAGCACTAAAAGACGAGAACGACATCCTCGTCATCGCCGCCCTCGGAAAACGCGACGCAACTCTCCCAGCAGAATACACCGTCCCCAAGAACGCCCGTGTGGCAGACTGGATCCCGTTCGACTCCCTCCTTCCCCTCTGCGACGTCTTCATCACGAACGGCGGCTACGGAAGTTTCCAAAATGCAGTTGCAAACGGCATCCCACTGGTAATCGCACCCCCATTCTTTGCAGACAAGAGAGATATCGCAGCGCGTGTAGAATGGTCTGGCATTGGCATCAACCTTGGAACTGGAACGCCAACTCCTGAGGCGTTGAAGGATGCCGTGCTTGAGGTTTTTAGGGATGGGAAGTATAGGGAGAGGGTGGCGGAGGTTAAGAGGGAGATTGAGTGTTATGATCCTATGGCGATTATTGCGGGTGCTATTGATGAGGTTGCCAACTCATGAGATGGAGCGGATGGGACGCAAGAAATCGCAATCTTCTCTGTCTTTGATAATTACTCTACACGCCTTATTTACTTTGCGATCCGATCACGGCACACGCCCCTAATGTCGGCCGACTCGGGGAATTTTGGAAGCCACCGAATTGACTCGGGTCCGTATTCCAGGGGTTGTATCTCAAATCACTGCCCTCTTCACACTTGGTCTTTTTGGCCCCCCATCTCCTCAACTTCTTAACGTCCTTGCCATGAATACGAGTCGTGGGTTATTTTTGGAACAACTGATTTCCAAAACGATGCGGACCTTTTCTTCCACGCTTTTCATCTTGAATTTTTGAGAAAGGCTGCGTGTGCCAGTGCCACTGGTATCAGCCCTAAATTCCGAGATGCTGATCTTGCAAGTTCCGACGCAAACGCAACGCCTTTGCCCCTTCATCTCCACCTGCGGATGTCACCACAGGCTGCAGGAAAGGTGGGGCCCCCATGACTCCTTTGTGATGATTAATTTCATCTCTCGTCAGCCCCGAGTTACGGCCTATGACAGACCTTGCTTCCCTCTGGGACTTGACCGAGTTGCAAGGGCTTGTTTTGGGTGCAGGGGCGGCCCGCGGCCCGTTGTGGAAGCAATTGTGCGCCACAATAACTGGGACGAATCCGAAGAACCTATGAAAGGAGAGAGAAGTGATAACCCCGGACTATGCCACTGAAAACGGGTCGCGAAGCGGTGGGACAACACCTTGGCCCCCAATGTGATGGCAGGAGACTTCCAGATAAATACAAATCCGTGTCGCCCGTCTTTCTTCTCTGTTTCTTCGTGTTTTTTTTTTAACGTTTCTTCGAATACCCTGTTGCGCGTTCTTTGCTGTCTGAATAGCTTCACTTTTCGAAGCAACGATGGACAAATACGATATCCCCCGGAAGCCCGTTGCCACCGTTACAGACGGCACTGCCGTGCCTTCAAGCAGCGGCGGGGCGTCTGTGGTTCCCGGGGCCGAGTCCACCAAAGCAGGGAAGCAAGAATGGTGGAATAGGAAGATCGAGACTGCCCAAGATCGGATCAAGAAGGATCTAACAAAGGAGTTCAGTGGGAAGAAGGGCTTTGATGGGCACCGGTTCTACAGACCCCACAAGGAAGAACCAACTCCCTCGCCGTTCGACAGTGCTGCAATTCTGGAATCGGATGAGAAGGGAAGATATATCTACCGCAACCAGCTTGGCCAGACATATCATAAGTACGACGATGTCGCAACGTATCTCAGTCCAACAAACTTCATTCCAAGACGGCTATTGGTTCAAGCAACCACGGATGTCTTCCAGAACCAGATGAAAACAGGTGATTGGCGCCGGACCACGATCAAAGGATCAGTACCTTTCGTGCTGAAGGTAGCAGAATGGGCTCTACGGCCATCGAATCCGGATGAGAATGGGAAAACGCCAATCTTCGGAATCATCTTGACCTTCCTGAGGATTCTCCTCGTTGCGTTCCCGCTTCAGATCATGCTCGTGTTGCCGACTACTGCTTCCTGGGACAATGGAGAAATCAAGGACAACTATACGGATTTTCCGGGGTATCACTGGAAATGGCCGAAATACGCAATCAACCCACTCGACATGAAGCCTGATGAAGCCTCCTTGGAAATGCTTACCAAGAAGAGTATCTCATCCAGGAAACGACTTCTTCGCCCTCGACAGTTGATCATTTTGAAAGATGGCGAATGGGCACTTGATCCCAACCCCGCCAAAGACATCTCCTACCTCTTCATCAGCTACACAAATCTCCATTTCAACACCGACAACTCCGAAGAAGGACGACATATGGTCGAAAAGATGGCCGAATTCGCAACGCTCAAAGCTGGGAAGACGGCATACTGGCTCGACTACAGATGCCGCGCCCCAAAAGACCAACAAGAGCTCCTTGATGCCGATGTCTACCGCATGTGCGACGTGATCCGCGGTTCCTACCAAGTCGTCGTGATGCTCAAAGCCAACACGCCAGAACTGAAAATGGAATGGGGATCTCGTATGTGGACATTACCTGAAGCGCTCCTTGCCCCAGGCGACGGCGTCTACTTCTGCACTCCCACAAATCCTAGCTCAGACGACTACTCCGTTTACTCGATGCGCAAAGTCGAGATGACCGGCTCAGTCTGGGAAGACCCCGACACCGAAGGTGACGATGGTGGTCCTACCAGATTGCTCGCAGAGCACTTCACCGGCCTCCTCACCCTCTCCCGCCTCGAAATCCTCTCAAACAGCATCGCCGCTCTCGGAAACCGGTTCCCCGCAAAATACGTCCCCTACTCGAAATCCGACATCGCGTACGCACTCATGGGGCTTTTGAACTACCGAATTGAAAAGGCAGAGTCCGACACGCTGTTCCAATCCATCGCCCGCTTGTCACTCGCAAATGATTCAGACCATTTGATTGAGCGCATGATCTGTCTCTTCCCCGATCCACACAACACGTCCGCCTCAGCCTTCCAGAAACTCGCCGAGCCAGACCTCTTCCAAACGCATCTCTGGGATATCACACCAGAATGCCAAGTCGTCGGCGTCGCAGACGAAGACAACACCGTTATGATCGACAACTGTCGCGCCCTCTCCATCCGCTGGAAGAACTTCCCCCGCATGGCAGTAGTCCGACACTACGGCTTCAAGAAACTCCTCGCTGAGCTCTTCGTCGCCTCGGGAGCATGGTGGTTCCTATTCGGCTTCAACCTCACCATAACCTACGCGCCATTCTACGCCTTCCCATCCACACTCTCTGGCACCAAGCTCCTCCTCGCGCTGGAGATCCTCGTCGGAGGCTTCTTCGGCGTAGGCGTGCTGCTCAGTTTCTGTGGTCCGTTTTCGGTGCGGAGATTATATGGCGGCCAGGTGTTGCAGAGTAGTCCGAATTTGATCGGATTTGAAGGCGTGCTCCCGTTGAAGAAGTTGGAGCCGCTCATCTTTGGGAACAATAACGGGAGGTTGACGTATTCTCCCTCGTCCACGCCGTTCAGCTATCACTACCGCGACTCGCGCGAGCGCGTCGGGCTGGAGCCTGCTTGGATCACGAACTCCATCTCCAACCCTGCTCTCCTCACCGAAATTCGGGACAAGCTGCCGGAAGGACATAAGTTATTTACGTTGGTTGATACGGGGAGTCTATCGGTTTGCGTGTTCTCGGCGGAAAGACCGCCGACGGTGGCGCTGCTTGCGGGCAGAGAGGGAGGGATGTTGAGGGCAGTGCTGTGTAGTTGGCGTTTTGGCAATGATTGTTTGGTTAAGGAGAGTGTGGTGCGGATGCCGAGTGATGTTTTCGAGGCGGCAAGTGCTAAGAGCTGGCTCAAAGTGTGCTTGGGAAATTAATGTACTGCATGTTGTGGGTCATTTTGAATGGTGTTGTGAGAGATATTTTGGGACATCCAGGTCGTGAATTTGCAATTGTTCGAGGAACTGCGGAATATTTCGGTTGCTGTTGGGTCCATGTACCAGATTCTAATGGAACATCTTCTTAAGTGAAAGGGCGGCAGTCTTGGAGTATTCAAATCATTATCTACCCAATATACCAGGTTGTCGTGGTAAAATGAAACTGGAACAGTTGAATAATCAAGGGGTCATTGTCCGAGATAACTTAGAATTTTGAGTCAAGATCTGAATTGTGTTATTTCGAGTACGCCATTTCTATGCACCCCTTTTTAATGTACCGCCCATGCCATGAACAATCAGACTTCCTCCAACGCCTCGCTATGCTCAATCTCCTCACCCCTTATGTACATTCATGCCTCACTCAGAATAGTGGTATCAACCCCTCTCTCCTCCAACTGCTCCTGGCTGACCCACCCCTTCTCCCAAACAAAATCCAGCACACCACCCGCCGTCTCAAACGCCCCATTCTTCACCAAAGTCCTCGGATCCAACCTCGTCTTCAACTCCTTAGTCTGGTTCTTGAACTCCGTCAACTCCTTCTGATCGACGCCGTGCTCCTTGAACGATCGTTCGAGGTGGTGTAGCAGGTAGCGAATCCAGAGGACATTGGTGTAGGGGATGTATTCGGACCAGACATTGCCATTCTTGGATTGATCGGGCTCCAGCGTGTAAAACGCGGCCATCTTACGTTCGCCAGTGAGGAGGTGGGTGCGCATACGGCGGTAGTTATCGAATTGAATTTTATCGCCGCCGGTAGCTGTGCTTTTAAAGAGGCCAGGATCGGTTTCAAGATTGTTGAATACGATTTCGCCGCTTGAAAGCTTTGCACGAGATAAGCCGTAGTCGATGATTGTGATCTCGAGACCGGAGAAGCCGAACTTGAGGTTTCCGTGATTGTTGGGGTTGATGGAGGCGAAATTGCCTTTCTGGATGACGCAGATATTGCTGTTATGAAGATCGCGATGCTGTGGAGAATGAGCAACGGTTGAACGGAGTGGAAGAGAAGGGAACGAGTATAAACATACCTCGAACTCGTGGGTTGCTTCAGCTCGCGAGAGAGCAATGACAACGCCTAGCAGAACATCCCAGACTTGCTCAATCTGCTTCATTGGTTCATCATTCAGTTCCCTGCCAGCGTCGCCGAGTTCAATGACAAGGAAGGTAGATGTGGGTCCGAAGACATCGGGGTCGGGAAACATGGATTCTTCGTATTTTTCCTCCCAGGCATCCCAAGCTTGCTTGATTTGAGGAACTGGTTTGCCTCGGATGAGGTGAGCGTCCTTGTATAAGACGAAGCCAGGGAGTTCTGTAAGTTGATTCATGATGCGCAATTCAGAGACAACATCCTCAACGGCACAGGCTGTTCGACTCTCGAGTGATTCTGGATTTGTTGAGACCTTGATTTCCATTACTTTGAGGATTGAAGTGCCCCCAGAATTGGTAGCACGGTATACCTCTGCATAGGAGGCCTTGGCAATCTTCTCGAGGGTTGTGTCCGAGGTGGAAAGGACAGTCCCCCAAGATTTTGGGGAGAGATGGAGGAGGTTGAGGAGTGGGAGGAGTTCGGGCTCGGGCTTGGACGAGACTTTGGCTGTGTCCACTAGGACGAGAGCACCGAGATTGGTCGAAAGCTCTCCGAGGGGGTCGCGGAGGGTAGGAGGAGCTGGGACGGAAGCGGGGGCGGCGATGGGAGACCGGCCGAAAATGGCGGCGGAGGCGGTGGATCTTTTCGTCCCATACTTCCGGAGGGGAGGCATGGGAGGCGAAGGTGGTGGTGTGTCTCTATTATCCGTTAGAAATGCTTATAGCAATAGACAGCGGACGAAAAAGAAAGACAGAATTGTCAGGCAACGTTCAAGTGTGTCTTGAACATCCGACGTAAGAAAAGTGTGTTGTAGAATGAATAAGGCAAGTGCTGAGTGTGGGGACGAAAGGAGCATTGGATATCAGGAGAAGACTACATGCCCGACTTTCGTCTGAACTAGAGATGTGCCCGCATTGGACGAAACGGGAGGATATTGAGCGTTGGAGCCACTTGGAATAAACAGGACAATTATGTAACTTCACAAGTGACTTTGTGCCTTGCAAATTCACTCTAGGTTGCAGACTTCGCGCCGCTTTTGGAGTGAGAAAAAGGGGCGAAAATGGCGTGCAATGAGATCTGAAAGACCTAAAGATACCAGCTAGATCTGGTCGATTGACTGATGGAAGGGGCCAAAGGGAGATGGATGTGCCTGAGAGAAAAAGAGTCCATACCGGTCGAGGAGAGGCCTGAGGGAACTGTCGGTGCTGTGAACAGTCAGAGGAACTCACTCCCAGGCGATTCTGAGGTGGAGATAAACGTACCTGGACGTTTCAATGTCCTCGTCTTCCTGGCACAGTGAACAGCAAGAGCAAAGCCCCTTAAGGGCAGGAACGATGCTTGTCAACATCTCAATGTGGCCCGAGCGCGTTGTCTGGGAGACGAAAGTCGGAGTTGAAGGAAGGAACCACCGGTGCTGGCTCCTCGAGATCTCAGCTAGGCCCAAATCTGCTAGCCTTCGTGCTAGCGCCAATCAGTCAATTTGCCCTCCACCTCAATCTTCAGCAACTTAAGAACAATCACACAACTGTCAACTCCCACTTGACTTGTGCATCTCACCAAGATGGCGGCATTTCTCAATAACCTCTTTGGAGGTTCCAAGCCATCCGCGTCTCCAATCCCAGCTGGTGACTCTGGTAAGACTCTGCGCGCAAACCAAATGACACAACTGACCACCTCCAGACTTTGCGGATTTCGCTGGAGCTCCAGACCCAGAGCCCGCTTCTTTGACGTCCACCATATCCACTCCAAGCTTCACAGGGCTGGCCTCTTTCCCAACTGGCCGCGCAGTTCCTTACACAAAATGGTACAACATCCATGAACGCTACAGCCTGAGCGACTTCAAGCAGGAGGGTGTGATTCTCAGTTTGATTGTGGTCATTGTCATCATCCACATGTTTGGCACGAGCACGAACAGAAAGAAGGCCAAGCAATGGGTTGCTGCGCATGCGCCTGTTCTCCAGAAAGAGTTTGCGCTTGTTGGATTCGGTGGACGAAAGCCCCCTACCGCAGAGGAGGTCGAGAACGCGGGCCTCGCAAAGAGCATGGCCAACGATACCCTCGAGCTTCCCGTGGATCTGCTAAAAGAGAAATCTCCCCAAGAGTTCACGACCTACGCGACTGGCCGCCAGAACGTGGCTTTCCTCGATGTCAACCTCACCCTGATGAAGCGATACAGCCCTCTCAGCATGATCGCAGAGTACGGCATGAGCTTGTTCTTCGAAAGCATGCCAGCTCCAGTTGAACAGATGGAGGCGATTCTGTACCCCTTCGATGGCAGAGAGGCTCTTACCGTTCCTGGCCAAGCACCCGGCGCCCATGAGCTTCGCAAGGATGCCAAGAGTGGCTTTGATGGATTTGTCTGGGCTATTGTGAACAAGGAGACCATGAAACAGCTTCGTGATGACCGATACGATGTCTCTATTACTACTACTAAGGATACCCCGAAACTCCCCGTTTGGGCTACCGTTATGAGCGAGAGTGCCGAAATTACAGACTTCCTTCTTACCCCTGAGCTCATCAAGGCTGTTGAGGAAGCCGGCGAGTTGTTGAACCACCTGATTATCACTGACCAACCAATTGATCAGCCACTGAAGTAAGTCACGAAATGCTCAGAATCGATGTCAGACTGACTGAACATCCAGAATCGAGGAGACCATTCCAAAGAAGCGCATCTATCTCTCCATGAGAATCCCCTCCTCCGGCAACTACAGCAAGACCTTGCCAATCTTCGAGTATTTCGTTCGCTTGACAGATACTCTCGCCTCGAATGCCCACTTCCGTCCCGAAGTCCTTCGCAAAGTCCGAAGCACCCGTGAAGATACCGTCCGTAAGCTGCAAAAGGCTGATGAAGAAGAGAAGGCTGAGGAGCGAGGCTTGGAACGTGAGAAAGCAAAGAAGTTGAAGAGAGATCTCGAGTTGAAGGCTCTTGATGCCAAAGGACAGAAGAAGTACCTCGAGAAGGAAAAGGAGAAAGAGATGAGGAAGAACCAAAAGAAGATGACCTCGAAGGGTTAGAGAAGTGAATGACGGGGAAACGGCGGTAATTATTGGAAAGTGATCGATTTATTAATGGAAAATCGATATATTGGAGTTTGACAATCTGTAGAATGACTAGATACAGGAGAGTGAAGAGTAAAAAAAAAGGAGAGGAGGGAATCTAAAGTACAGTTCTTATATACCCACTAGTGGGTGGCGATTTCCTCCGGTATATTATAAATCAGATGACTCATATATATTAGTGAGCGTTCCCTGAGCTTCCATAGTGAGCGTTCCATAAGCTTCCATAGTAAACCATTATAAATGAGAGTGGCGAAGCTAAATTAGTAGTTGAACCTGGTACTGGAAGGATTAGTAAGCTAGCCAAGCTAGCTTACCAATTCAACAGTAATGTTGCTATGTACAGTGTACAGGATGGTGATTGGGCTCTTGACCGTGGGTCGTGGGTCAATTGAGTGTACAAAATCCAGCCCTTCTGTAAGGAGGTTGCTCATGTCCAAATCAAAGTTCGAGTGGATCTTCTTCGTCAAACCAGTTGTTGGAGCTTCAGGCTTGTTTCTCACTGCCTCAACTCCATAACTCCCGACAACGAAGCTTCGCACTTTTATATCAACCTCCCATATCTCGCGGCTAGTGCTGCGCCTGTCGGCAAAGGTCCATTCTGCATTCCATTTCTGGATCTCTCGCTTTCGTTCCCGTATTTCAGCCCTGGCACAAGGATGTTCAACCAGCCAATCATACCCAGTCAACACCAGCTTCTAACTGGCCGTGCGTTCGCTCTTCCAGCCTTCCTGTAGCCAAGGGCCAAATTGAAGGCCACATTGTCACAGAAAGTCGATGAAACCCACCTCAATCCTACTTCCTGCTCGCGCTTAAGGGGGAACCTCTGTATCGCAATGCTGATATCGACCGTCCGGACTTCGTCCGGAAGGAACCATCCCACGTAAACGCTCTTTTAACATCTCTTCCAGATTTCGAATCATAGTCGGAGAAGGCAGAATGGCATCCAATTATTCAGACCTCGAAGCGGTCCACTACTACCAATAGCCAGGTCTTGAACACAATCCCATGATTCAAAACCAAGTCCTACCCGGTAAAAACAGCGCACAATACAACGATGCACAATACGCGCCCAAGAACTACGGAGACCAGTACCAATACCAATACCAATACCCCGCCGCTCCTCCTCCACCTCCACAGAAGCTATGGGACCTCAAGCCGAAGACCTTCTGGGTAGTCTTTGGTATCATCTCGTCGTGGTGATAGGAGCAGCACAATCGCACAGATCCAAATCCTCCTCTGATTCGAATTCAAACTCGAACTCAACAACACCAATATCCACCACCACAAACCTCACACCCTCCTTAACAACAACCCCAGTAGTCGGCCACTCGGCCACCCTCCTTCGCGACTGCCCCTCCTCAAATAACACCCTCTACACCGTCTCCCCCTCTGCCTCCAACCCACAAACCTTCCGCAAAATCTGTGGCGTAGCTTTCGTCAAGGCTGCTTCCGTCCCCATCACCGAAAACGTCGTGCTCACCCAAACCACGACCCTCGACGACTGCATCGGCCTATGTGCTGCGTATAATGAGGCGAACAAGACCAGCATTGCGGGGGGTGCGGATTATGTTTGCAATGCTCTTTGTTGGCGGAATGGGTTTGTGAACGATGATTATCCGGGGACGTGTCTTGGGTTTACGACGGCGAATAGTACAGGGTTGGGGACGGGGTCGTTTCAGACGACGGGACAGTCGATTTGTGATGGATCGGGGTGGAGTGATCAGAGGCAGCTGGCACAGTGGAGGTGTGGCATAGATGAGAGGGAAATTAGAGGAAATGGGCCACTGGGTAGGCTATGAGCTGGGCTGGAGAATGGAGTTAGTTGGTTTCCGAGGTCTGTAAGTTTGGCAATGAAGTAATACATTTTCTTGTCTTTCGATTAAACTTCTTCTTCAGCCCAGAGTTAGAGTTCTCTTACATTGTGCCTCAAAGTTTGAATCTCGTCGTAAGCAAGTGCTTTGGTTCTTCCTAATCCTCCTCCAAATTCTTAAAATACAGAGGTTAATGCCCTCTCGATGCGAACACATCCAGGCAGATGTGTGTGCAAGTGCATCTCCAATTCGCAAACCTGCAGGACTGCGCACTCGCAGATGCTAGAAATATCCAAGCCAGAGGTTTAAAGGTTCCCGCAACAACCCAACGAGATCGAATTTCGTTCACTTTCCGGGCGAGAATAGCTGCATGGCGCATTTTCAGCGCAGTTTTACTCGCGCATCAACCGATGGTGTGGTGAACACGACGCTCTGCATTGCAGCTGTATCATCGTTTTTGGTTGACACCCGACAGAGCCTCGTCGAGGCATAATTTGGGAGAAGAAAATTGTAATAAACACTACAAAATCCCCAATTTTCGGGGCTGGTTTGGAGTGTGGAATATCAACGACATTACCGATCTCGTCTGAGAGGTCCTGGTATGTTCAAAGTTCACAAATAGTGTTGGTAGTTCAATGTTTCGGGTATTTGACAACAGACAGATGATTATGAATTTGAGTATGAGCAACCTCCAAATACCCCGAGATCACGGGAAGAGGCCCTGCAGTCCATCACCGAGCCTGTGCAAGACAGGAATGATACCGCCACCGAAACAGACTTGGCAGAGGATATTACGTTAAGCCAATCTCTACCAACCCTGGAGCCAGCACCCAATCCAGTGTGTCAAATGAATAGAGTAGAATAGAATAACGGCCGTTACTCTTATTTTATTCAAGCTAAAAACCCGTTACTCTTATTTTATTCAAGCTAAAAACCCGTTACTCTTATTTTATTCATATAATATTCAAGTTATTCATGAATAATCATGAATAACTTGAATAACGCACGTGATCTCTGCACGTGATTGAGCTAGCCTAATCGGGTAAGGCTTCGGGGGCGGCCGCACCTAGCGCCACTTCGCTACCCAATCAGGTGGTAGTGGCACTTGGTAAGCGAATCGAACCTTAGCGATAATCAGTTTATTTATTATAGAAAATTTGTATTTAAGTAGCCTTATCTAAGTATTAGCTTAGCTTATATAAAGCTGCTTAATAAATACCTTAGTTCTTTGTTTTAAATTTAAATATATGTCAATTTATTATAATTAATTGACTTCCACGTGACTTCCACGTGGTTATTCATGGTTATTCATGTTATTCATGAATAATTATTCTATTTTACTCAAATTATTTAAGATATTCGTTACTCTTATTTTATTCAAGTTATTCAGGAAGTATTCATGAATAACTTGAATAACTTGAATAATCCTTTGACACACTGACCCAATCCATTTTCTTTGTCTGGTTCCAGTGTTCCGCCGTATCTTAGCACTGGGACGCCTTACAGCGCTGGAATCCATTTCAGCGCTGCACCTTACACGAGTTTCCCAGAAATTAAACAGTCCTACGCATCACCGAAAACAGGTTGGCAAAATCACATCAGGACGAGAGATCCTGCTACAGACAGAGAAGAGTCTACCCCGCGTGAGTCTCAACTGTGGACGCATCGTTCCTGTAGTTCTTGCACTGTAGCTCTGAGAACCTCCCCCGTCATTTCGTAGAAGTTTTGTGCCTCTTCGCCGTAAGGCGTAAAAGGCCCCATCTGGAAGTTACTTTCTGCCATAGGAAGGAGCCAGAAAGGGACTCTGAATAATTCGAATACTGGCTTGAGTGTTGAAGTAATGAGGACAGCAACTATATTTGTTAAAATCCACGCACAGTAGTCCGATAGCAATATTTGGCATTCTAGACAAGTTAGGACTCGTTCGTACATTCTCTTAAATTCAAAGGATGAATACTCACGATTGACGAGAGATCTCTTCTGATCTATCCAAACACCGGTTTGTACGAAAGGTATTGACATGTCTACTGCAAAAATTCCTTCTCAGCAAAGGAGGACCACTTTGAGTTGTCTTTGTTGGAACTGAGTGTACGCTGGTACACTGTAGTTTATCCGTTACGCTGCCGCCAGCTTTACACTTCGTGCTCAATTATACGCGCAAAATTGCAGCAAATCAGAAGGCTCAAACCCGAATTTTGGCTCTCTGATTTGCTAGATTTCCTCGCTTAAAAGTGCACGGTCCAGTGTAAAGCTGGCGGCAGCGCAACGGATATACCAGATGTATATATAGAGTGCTTACCCCGCGTGAGCTGAAAAATCAAGTCGTCAACCTCCAAAACATTGCAACAGTCTTGCCCCGGTCGTGTGGACAGCTAGTCATAATATTATGTACAACAAATTTAACCGTTTTTGTGAGGGTTTGTCACAGGCCTGGTAAACTGTTGGGCGCATTTTCGGGCTCACTGAAGCCTACTCACTGAAGCCTACCGCCACCTATGTCATGCTGCACATTCAAGCCGGGCGACATCTGAAACATCGCCAAAAATGCCAGAACCGTCCTCATCGGACCAGGCTCTTGCCTGCACTGCCCCTCAAAGTGCAATCCGGCCGAAAGCTCTTTTCCAATCAGTCAACCAGTGGTGCTGAATTTCGGAAAGCCATGGTCGGACCAGTAGGTTCTGATGAATATGATAACTAATACAGTATAATGTTTGATAACATAAGGGAACCGCTGAGAGTCGACATCCACTCAATGAAAACAACTGAATACCGAGTGAAGGAAATCGAGGGATCATAGGTTCACGAATTCACGTGAGAGGAAGGGAAGCACAATCAGCGGCAATCCACTTCGCGGCTTCATTTATTTAGTTGAGCTAGGAAGAATTGAAAAGTTTTATATAACGTTGTTATTTAGAATGAAAGGTAATCCTAGAAACAATAGTGATTGCTGTTTAATTTCATTTCTTGGCCGATTAAGTAGAATAGAATTCCATCTTAGAACGGGGTTGAACTTTTGAAATGTCGCTGGTGAAATTCATGGGGGGTCTGGCGTCGCGTAGGCCGGCCAGTGCTTGCCACCACCATCGACGCCCTAGACGCGTGCTGCAGAGTTGTTGGTTAATAGCCAACCGACCCTGTAGAGCGCAGATATTGAGAAGGTGTCGCAAACACCTACTTACTCTACTTCAGGCTTTGCTATTTTGTACTACAAGCTCACTCAACCTTCCTTTAGCATCACATCAGAATGCGCTTGCTAAATACAGAAACGCTGCAGCTACAGCAATTCGATCAGGGGCCGTTCCCACGATACGCAATCTTGTCCCACCGCTGGGGAGATCAAGAAATCTCCTTCCAAGAACTTGAAGCTGGCCTGGGGAAGGATAAAGATGGCTACCAAAAGATCGCGACATTCTGTGCTCAGGCAAGGGACCGAGGCTTCGAATGGGCCTGGGTAGATACGTGTGGGATCGACAAGACCAGCAGCGCCGAGCTATCCGAAGCAATCAATTCCATGTACAAATGGTACGAGCAGAGCGCCGTGTGCTTTGTATATCTGCCAGATGTTACAGCCCAAGTTCAACCCGATGGGTCAACCTATTCTCTGGACGTCCATAACAGCTGCTGGTTCACGAGAGGGTGGACATTACAGGAATTGATTGCTCCCCCCTCTGTGGAGTTCTATACGTCGGATTGGATTCACATCGGGGACAAAAGCTCAAATGTCAATGAGCTCAGCCGTATCACAGGAGTTGATACAGGGGTCCTTCGTGGGGATCATCCGGTACGGGCCTGCAGTGTAGCAAGGATCATGTCATGGGCATCCAAAAGGATCACAACCAGGAAGGAAGACATTGCGTATTGCCTACTAGGACTTTTCGGTATTCACATGCCATTACTGTACGGAGAAGGGGATCGCGCCTTTATCCGACTGCAGGAAGAAATCTTGAAGCAATCTTCTGATCAGTCCCTCTTCGCCTGGAACCCCTTAAGCGACAATAACGCCCCCGTTTGCGGAATTCTCGCCCCATCTCCTGCCTGTTTCGCCGATTCCCGTGACATTGTGCCACTGCGTGAATTCTGGGACACCGAGTCCGCGTTGACCAATCGAGGAGTTCGCCTCAGAATGCCATTTAAGATTGATGTTGGGCTCCACCAGTTTCTGGGATTTCTCTATTGCGAGAGGAAATCCGAGTCCTCCTATAAACCCAAACTCTCCCATGTAGCCATTGAGTTCTTTAGCAAATCTGAACTACTCGGAGATCTCTTCCCTGTAATCCGCCAGTCAAGCCGCTTGAAATTTGGAAACTGGAAAGATCCCGGAGTTGAGCTCAAACAGGTTTACCTGGCCACCGAGACTTCTCTTTCGCACGCTACTCTCCACTTGGGAAAATACAGTTTATACAGGACCAAAGACGAGCTTTTCTTCCACGTTTATGTCCGCGATCCGCACAACCTGGCCAACCTGGAGGAGCATCTAGAGCTATATTCTCGATATCCTGGGAATAGATTGAAAAGCGTCCATTTCAAGGATCCGAGGGAGGTGCAACACCTTATGTATGTACATCCACGTGGAGGTGGCGGGAGAGTAGCCATACTACTGCCGATCACTTTGTCGCAGAAGGTTGCTTTGGTATTTGGCTATAAAACCACGCAAAAGGGCATATCGGACATAAGGCAGACTTGGAATATTATGGTCCGAATGCAGAAAGATCAGTCCTTGGAAGAGGTTTGGTCCTGTGTAGAGGAACCGGGGTTGACCACGAGTAGAGAGGCCTCCAAGATAACAGTTGACGCAGTGGCAATCTCGGTTGAGATTTCCCAGCTGCCTTGGTGGTCGGGAGACTCTAGAAATGTTTTCATAGATATCAGTCCGGTTCCCGGAAAGGGGATTTTGAAGGCGGTACGAGGATGGAGAGGGAGGCACGAGGAAGGGTAAGCAAGGCATAGGAAGCAAGTCCTGATTTTAATAGCACAATACTTGAACAGATGCTTAAATATGAGTCGAACAACCCTTCATTTGTTCGCTGGAGAGCAAGATCCAATTGACAGATCTCAGGTGTAGGAAAAAAGTGTCGTCACGTGAGCCGATTTCCAAATTTCTCAAGCGCTTCAAGCGAGCGAGAGAAAAGGGGTACCGAGACACCACGACAACAAGACTGGATGCAAAAAGATTGCATTCGTCTCTATATACGAAGAATTATATATTATTCAAAAAAACAAAAAATTGGCGTAACCCCCAGGAATCCGACATTTAACCCATATCTTTTCCCATCGCCATACGCCCCCTTCCCTCCTTCCCTTTTGTTCTCTACACGCCAGGTAGCGGTGCGAACGCCGGAATACCCGCCGGCCAGTTCCCAATACTCGCCGGATCCTTGCCAAGACGCACAAACTGTCCAACGGCTGGCGTGGGCCCGTCGAGCACGAAGAACATGAACCATCCCGGCGGCGCGACGTGGGCGGTAGGCGGTGCAGTCACGGTACAGGTTGTTGCGCTGGAGCAGGTTACTGCGGGGAAGATGGTGCGTTGACCCATTGCGTTGCCGTGCGTGCTCACCACGGAACCGAGCATGGAGATCTTGATATTGGCTGCGTTTCCAGATGGGACGTTGACGGTCACTGTGATGGTGTCACTGTACGCCCAATCCGTGCTTGAGAGCGTGAAGGTAGGACGTTGGGCGCCGGAGAGGAGGTAGGGAGGCGTGAAGACCTCGACGCGGTACTCCTCTGGCCATTCGCCAGCTGGCTGGTTATAATCGCCGGTTGGATCGGAGCCGGTTACCATGACGCGGCCGTCGAGCAAAACGATGGCTTCGGAGTGGTAGAGGCGGGCTACGGTCGTGTTGGCCATGATAGACATACGGCTGTTGAGCGGCTTGGTCGGGTCGTAGAGCACGGCGTTGTAGTTGGGGTCGCCGCCGAGACCGAAGCCTGCCACGCCGTGTTGGGCTCCGTTCATGATGACATAGGTTCCGTCTGGGAGACCAGCCATGCAAGGCATGACACGTCGGGATGGCTGGGTGATGTTAGTGAGGGGTGGGGTAGAGGGGGCGAGGAGGGGACGTACCATTCTCTCGATTGTCCATACGGGATTGGCGTCTTCGGGCTGGGTGGTGATGCAGTTGTCGATGGGGTACCCGCCGTTGGAAGTGGATCCACCGCAGATGAGGACACCGAGGTTAGCGGTGTATGGAGCGTATTGCGGGAGAAGAACCATGGCTCCCTCTAGTTGGTAGGTACGGCCGCCGGTGGGGTCATTGACTGCTGCAGGCATGTTGGGAAGCGTCTTCTTGGTAGCGAAGGTCGTCTCGTCTAGGATACGAGCCTCGTTGAAGTAGGCGACGAAAATTCCCGATGGGACGACGCAGACGAATGGGTAGAGATTGAAAGGAGCTGTGCGTTCGAGGAAGTCGAGGTAAACAGTGGTGTTGGAGTATCCGCTGACGGTGGTAGTATCGGGCACACCAGTGGCTGGGAGCAGCTCGAGAGTTGGCTGTTCGGCGTCATTGCTGCCAATCTCACCACCAATGATCATAACGGATCCATTTGCCATGACCATAGCTGATGGGTACCAACGTGGGACTTGGAGGGATAAGACACCAGGGTCTTCCATCCATTCTGGTTTGAAGTTAGCAAGAAAATTCTAGACTGGAACTTGGCTAGACTTACGATTCGTGCCGAACACTCCAGCGGATCCATCAGGAGCATACAGTCTAACACCAAAGTTGGACTGTCCAGCCCATCCTCCGACAGTAAGAATTCTTCCGGCTTTATCAGGAAGTGTGACACCAGCTGAGCAGAAGACATCGGTATCCATTCCGCTCATGGTCCTCCAAGCGAGGCTCCAGTTGTTGATCTCAGTGAGATCAAGCTCATAAGCTCCAGTGCCATTAGGCTCGCCGGATCCATACTTCTCGATGAACTGGGCTTTGCCATTGATACCTTGTGTGGTAATGAGAGGAACTACAACTCCTCCAATGAGCAGGGAGTATTCACCAACGGCTGTACCAGTAGGGAAATTGAAAGTGTACAATGGCGTTGGGCCTTCAAAAGCATAGTATGTCAACAAGTTGCCTGATCCGCAGAGATAGGAGCCATTGCCAGAACAGACGGAGTTGCATTGAGAATCTGCAACGATTTGAGGGATCTTGCTGCGAGTATAGAATTGGACAGCAGTAGGGCTGGTGGAGACACCTGGGTCGGAAGCAACGAGGATGTTCGCAACGTCACCACAGAAGCATTCCGAGCCGTACTCTAAGCCTGCAGCGTTGTATCCAAAGGCTTGGCATTGCTTGATACAAGCTTCTGGGGTGTTGCTGGCATTGTTCCAAACCATATATGGGAAGGTCGAGACGATTTGGTTCGCATCTTCAGCGGCGGGAATGTTATCTTGGAGACATCCTTTGTACACCCAGCCTGAGGGCAAGCCAGCAGTCTGGACCGCAGGTGGTTGGTAGACCTTCGGGGGTCCATTGGACGAGTAGACGGACAATCTGTTTCCTGCGCCACACATTTCAGCAGAATTCCCAGGGCATGGCGTGTTGCAGGAGGTCTGGTCTGCCGCGAGAGCTGCTCCGTTGTACAAGAAATTGTCACAGAAACATTGAACAGCATATTCCAAGCCTGCAATTGTGTATCCGAGGCTTGCGCAAGTTGCCTGGCAAGCTTCCGCGGTGTTAGCGTTGTTGTCAGGTTGCTGGAAGTTCAAGTCACGTCCGGTCAAGCCATCAACGTAGCAGCCTTGGTAAACCCAGCCCGTGGCTATAGTCGTAGCGGATGTTGAAGTCTTTGTTGTACTTGTTCCAGTGGTGCTAGTTCCGGTCGTGCCAGTTCCTGTAGTGCTCGTTCCAGTGGTTGAGGTCCCAGTAGTGCTGGTGCCAGTGTTGGATGACGAGCTTGACGTTGCTAAACTGGTGAGCTTATACATGTCCAATCTATTTCCAGCACCGCAGTACTCGTAAGCATTGCCAGGGCAAATGAAAGAACAATCAGTTACAGGGGCGAGAACAGATCCAGTGTTGATGGTATTGCCGCAGTAGCCTAACTCACGTCAGTAAAGATCAAAAGCAACAGCAACCGCCAACTCACATTCTCCTCCGTATTCAACGCCAAAGTAGGTGTATCCAGCGCAGTCAGTAGCGCACTCCTCGAGGGTCATGGCTGTGTAATCAAAGAAAGCACCAGGAGTCAGGGCACGCATGCCCGTTGCTTCGGTGTAGCATCCTTGGTACGTGTAGCCACCGACTGTGGTCTTGATACCGAGAGTAGGAGTAGCGGAAGGGAGGGTGCTTGTGGCGCTGGTGCTCGTGGCGCTGGTCGTTGTCACAACTGCTGTCGAGGTCGTCGAGGGTTTTGTGGAGGTCGACGTGGTCGTGGGAACTGCCGTCGTGGAAGACTTCGACGTGTTAGAGGTCACAGTTGACGAAGTTGAGGTTTTTGACGTAGAAGTACTAGTTTTTGACGTAGAAGTCGAAGTTTTGGAAGAAGAGACAGAAGAAGTACTAGTTTTTGACGTAGAAGTCGAGGGTTTTGTAGAAGAGGCTGATGAAGTACTAGTTTTTGACGTAGAAGTCGAGGGTTTTGCAGAAGAAACAGATGAAGTTGAACTTTTTGATGTGCTTACAGTGGTCGAGGTTGAAGTCTTAGAAGTAGCAGTTGTTGACGTTGTCGAGGCCTTGGTGGTGGTTGTGGTATAAGGAGGCAGGCTGACCTGGTTTTGGTAGTCATACACATCAAGTCTACTCGGACCACCGCAGTACTCAGAGTGGTTACCGTTGCACAGCATGGAGCATCCTGAGAGGCCATCTGGTGCAAGAGTTCCGCCATTTGAAATGGCGTTACCACAGTCTGCAAACGTCAACTCAGAAGAACCTAAAAAACCACGCAAGGAAACCTACAGCATTCGCCTGAGTACTCGACTCCTGCGAGGAGATAACCAGCGGTTTGGCAAGCTGATAGACAGAGATCAACAGTCATTGCGGCCGAGCCGCCAGTTGTGGTTGCACCATTTGGCAGCGCTCGTCCCGTGGTACCTTCGCTAAATTCCAGGCGTCAGCTCCAAACTCCTTCCCAATACACTCTTCAGATTCGACTAACGCATAGCATCCGGAAAACTGCCATCCTCCAATACCAGGATTTGTTTGCGGTCCTGAGGTTCCACTCCAGAAAAGATTCAATCGACTGGGACCTCCGCAGGCTTCAGTGGCGTTGCCAGTGCAGGTCATGCTGCAATCGGTTGCAGGGGCTGCTGCAGCTCCAGCTGCGAGACTGTTGCCGCAATCTAAAGGCGTCAGCCGAGGTCATACATCCCAATTCCTAGTGGTTAACATACAACACTCCTGGGAGTATTCCGTTCCGGCATAGATGAATCCAGCAGAGCTGCAGTAGTTAATGCACGATTCGTCCGTCATAGCAGCATCATCCGTGTAGCCTCCGCCACTCAAGGTCCGGCCGACATCCCTATATCTGTGAGCTGCGTACGACGAACTCTTCGACCAAACCTACGTATAGCAGCCTTGCGAAACCCATGACCCAGGAAGAGTCGAAGGCACCACTCCAGCTCTCCGTTCAATTGTCAAGGCATTAGTTGTCGTGAGCTACAAACGTTAGGAGCCACCTTTGGAATCGCAGGACCGCTCTGTGTCACACTGACAGATGAGATTAGATATATCGCGCTGAGCGCAGTCCCCAAACCTCGAACCATCGTTGAAAAAGGACGCGGGATTTCCCAGTAGTGCCAAGAGAAGGGCGTCAAGAGGATTACAAAATACTATTAAAGAGGAAAGATGAGTATGGTAGGCGTCAGCCAAGTGACATTCAGTGACATTCAGGACAGTAAACGACAGTGGGGAGAAACAACACAAACGACAGACGTGACGAGTTGGCCTGAGAAACAGTTATCAGATCGTGGAGGAGGGACAGTAATGAAGGAAAAAGGCATGTCCCTCAGAGCTAGGCCCGATCTTGGCAGGGGGCTTGTTGGGGATCCGGACGGGCCATTTTTTTTTGCTTCTGCAAAAGATCCTGGGAGCCTGAGCCAGGGGGATACCCGGCTCAAAAAGCTTAGCATTGTCGCCCCCCTTTTCTCTGGCGAATAGGGAGGTCGAGCCAGATGACGAAGCGAGGAAGTTGACAGGGGAAACGCCACCAATAACCGTGACTCTGCATGCTCAGCACGGGCGACAGGCACCGTAACTCGATTCGTCCAACAAGGTGGGTGCGGTAATAATTGTAATTGCGGGCGCCACGTAGTATCGGTCTCGCCCAGCACACCTGCGCGTGGTCGGTGATGAAGCTTACTCCGTACTAGAAGAGGTCTTCCGTGGTCATCATGTCCAACATCCTCGTAAGCTCAGTCATAAGAACGAGACACGCACAACACGTTCAACCTCTCACGGCCCTTCACCAATGAGCTTGAACCCGAGGACGCAGTCAACAACGGTCTTGCAGCACTTGCATGTCCGTTGAAGAGAGCCCGTGTTCAACTTGGACCAGGGGCCCTCGTAAGTAGATATCGACCTTGACAGGGAGGTGTTTGAAGGGCTTTCCCGGCCCAAGACTGCATCAGGGATCGTTAATCGCTGAGATAATAGATTCAACCCCACACAATAATGGGCCCAGTTCGCTCAATCGAGGAGGTTCAAAGGCCAGAGATGCTTGGCAGGGGAAGATGAAATAAGAGCCCGGCCCGTGGCTGACTGTCAGCGGCTCGGGTGCGCCGGCTGCTCCTTGCCCTGATCCAGGCACGTTTCCGTGACAGGCGGAGGGATGTGCGGACTCTCTCCCCGCTAACAGTGGGCCCCTCATTCCATTCCATGTGTTTCTTCATATAATTGCCTTCGTATCGCAGCAATCGTTCGATGCAACCTTCCTCGGGGGAGACCATGGCGCGATGTGAGGGATGTCGAGCCTTTGGTAGACGCTCAATTACTCCGTTAAGGAGACAACAATTTGGGCATGCAGAAACTGCAATTTCCACCGTCATGGCGACTCGGCTGAGCTTTTCTCTTGGGCCCTGATGGGTTGGGTGAGTGAGCCGTGACAGGGGATCCGAGCGAAACATGCCCAGTCATAGACCCCTACTCTCAGCCTCCAATCCCCTGAATTGCCCGCGAATCTGTACAGTACCATTAGCACGAGCTTCCCAGCGGCTGAGCGAATGCGAATCATGCGATGAACGCGTCTATGAATAGCTTTCGATAGCAGAGCGGGGAGAGAGGCCCGACATTGCGGCAAGCAGGTCTGGGACTCTGGTCCGTCCTTCGGCCCGCAGAACCAGTGCTCGCCACGCAGGAATGTGCTTCACTGTAAAAAGGCTGCTAGTGTAGTGATATTTCTCCGCCTTTGCAAAAGGCTATCGAATTGTGCGTCCAGACCCGGAAAGTTGGTCGTGGCCTGGCTGCCAGCGGCACGCTAGACCGAATTTTGGAAGAGGTCTCAGATATGAGATGAACTCCAGCAAATAATTTGCACCATGACCACCATGAGACCTTTGCCGCCTTGGCTGCAGTCAACTTCGTCATTCACCACTTCCACAGAAGAAAAGAAAAGAAGGATCTGATAGTGGAGAGGCAAAGCGGGCAAATCAAGACGCGTGTTGCAGGCAGCGGTCCACAGCCTTCAAACTTTCTCGATCGCCGATCTTTGCCTAATATTCTTCTGCTGCAGAAACCCCAGAAAACACATGTGCCCCACACCAGATCCGATAAGATCACTTTTCTCAATCTTCTGCCGCCCTTGTCTTATTGCCTTCCTTCTACGTACGGTGTAGACCACGAGTCCACGACGCACGCGACGCACCCGCGGCACCTCATCATCTCATAATTCTCATTTCTCTCAAGTAGTCAGTCCAAAACAGCGCCATCAATACTATCCCCCGCCTTGAATACTTACAGTGGGTCCTGGGATAACACCACTCCTGCACTGACCAACTCAAGGGTGTATGGCCAATAGCGATTCTGGAGAGCACCTGATATTTCCTAGTTGGGGGTTATAAACGAGGTTTCAGGGTGGCGTTACTAAAGGACCCACTGTAAGTATTCAAGGGGGGGATAGTAGATCTTTTTCCAAGCCAGAGTAGCTTCATCCAGGTTTCAGCCCACTGCATTGCACCCTCTGTTAACATTTTCTCCGAGCGGCAAAACAGACTATTCTCTCCAAGGACCACTTGTCCTCTTCCGGATTTCAGCTGCCCACATTCAATCTTTGAAACTTGACGTCCCCGCATCCGTCTGTATGATCTCATCTAGATATTGCTAAATTACAACGTGTCACAACATGTCATACAATAGTGCGCTACCTCCGTGGGTCAAGTTTATATCTTCGATGACCTCCACTATTCTCTATTTCCGGCACTAACACACGGCAACAGCCATCAACCCTCCATTGCGGGTTCAAGTCGCATAATGGTCGGTCCGCCTTCTCTACTCGCTTAGACCAACTATTAGACTTGCTTTCTTGCCTTGGTTGAGAAGCGGAATACATGCAGTCAGCAACATGAGAGAACTACTCCATCAACACAATCAAAGAACCACCGCACCCGACCAAGAACAACCCCGAGAGAGGAAACTCCATGGGGCTTCGATATGTAAATAAAGAACTCCGAGATACTGAAGAGAAATGAGAAATGTGGATTTAGCTAACCATTGCACTTGACATGATGCTTGATCAGGACAGTTGATCTCCAACGAGGAAGCACTGGATGTGCGAACCAGTTGGCTTCAAAATGTACTCGGCTTCTAAACGTTTAGGCGTGGCCATAAATTGAACATAATGCACATCATTTCTGATCATTGCTCATGAAGCCCCCTAACTTCCATTCAACTAGTCCCAGCACGTTGACACAATTCAAACGCTAAGCGACAGAAGCACGCCTCCTACAGCACAGTAGGCCTAACAAGAACTCATCTCCCATTTTCCCTCTCTCGTAAGATCTATTTGAACATTCTAAGCACCAACAGGTTTCCTCCTCACAGCCCCCGCTGTCGTCTCAACCGTGCTACTCGGCGGCCGCCCACTCGACTCACTGAACCTGTTCTCCCTTCCCCCCTTCTCGCCACCCTGCACCATCACACTCCCCTGAATCCCCTCACTCACTCTGCTCTCGCGCCTCGGTCCCGAACTCCTCTGTCCCCATACTAACCTCCGAGAATCTGCTTGAACTGCCCATTTGAGGACTGCCACTCTCAATCCGCGGCGTCGCTCCCATACTCCCATCCGGTAAAGTATGATGTTCCTCATCGTGTGAGGCATCAACCTCCTGCGGTGGCCGCGGTATATATGGCGTAAAAGCCAGCGGGTGACTAAACGCGCCGACTTCCACTGCGTTCGTATTCATGTCCTTTCTATCCTGATAACTCGGCAACTCCGCACTCGCCAGCTTTGGTTCAGGGGCTTTATTCTTGCAATGGCCGCGGAGAAGGAAAACGGCGAGGAGGGCGAGTAAGGCGAGGAACACGACGCCGCCGACGATCGCGGAGATGGAAGGTGGGGATGAGGGAGAGAGCGTGGTGGTTTGGAGGTTGTTGTTCGTGGTGCTGGTGGTGAGGTGCGCGAGGTTGCGGGTTGGCTTGTAGGCGGGGCGGGGAAGGGACGGTATGAAGATGTATTTGCATGCACTCGTTAACACCATGACTGACACTCCACCTCCACCTCCACCTCCCCTCTTGTTGGGATGTTCGCAGGGAGCGTAAGTGGGACACACTGGGGGAGATACAAATCCGGCCAAACACTCGGCTTCGAGACGGCTGGCGCCAGGGAAGTCGAAGATGCCTGTGTATTCCATTTGAAGAGACTGAAAATCTCGAGCATGTGTCTGAGGCTTGTCAAGAGAGGAAGAGAGCAGAAGAGCAGGAGGATGAATGGAACAGTTGCTGACGTTTCCTCTTGTGTCGGTGGTTGCATGCCACCGAATACTACTAGGTTCTCTCCTACTGCGTGGCAGGTATGGCTTGTTGCTATCAGTGGCCGGAAGTTGGAGCAAGGATGAGAGACAGACTGTAGACTCCTCCTGGGCGGGTGTGGACTTTTAACCATTGGAAGGTTGGCAGGGTGAGAAACCACCTGTGTTGTTAGTTATGGCAAGGAAGTTAAGGATGGCAACTTACATATCCTCATGCAATAACACTGTTGTACGTTTCTGATCCAGACTTAGCATCTCCATTTTGGAGGAACGAAGGATAACTTGCCAACACCAGCAACCATGAAGATTTGAACGAACTCTTGTATGCTGCTGTAATAAGAGTTGTGCAAACATCTGATCTCCTACTTAGAATCTGTGGTACACCTACATCGCCATCAGCATTACCTCATAGAAATGGAAGATCAACTCTCACCGAACCTCTGCTGGCAAAACCAATACTCAGTCCAAATATCATAGATATCAATAAAACTGATATTAATATTCGTGCTCCCCTCATTCGTCTTCAGAATCCCCACTCCATACGGCGTAGGAATCGTTGTCGTCTGGCCTCATATCAAGATCAGAACACCTTGGTCGCCGACTGGGACATGGATCATTGCGCCGTTCATCCCGGGCCCAATATTCGCCGGGACCGAGATATTCGAGAGAGTCGGTGGCGAGTCCTTGATATTCGTATCAAGCTGCAGCATGCCCTCCAAAACTGCTCCAAAGTCAGCCCAACATCCACATCCCCCCCCAAAATCCATGCAGCAACTTACACTTGAATTCCGAGGGAGCAGTATAATTAACATAATCAGCATCCGACCTCCTCTGCACATACCCCTCAAAGATAAAACTCTTATTCAAAATCGGCGCATCGCACGGGTTCGCCGCTCGAGGACGCTCGACCTTGTTTTCTGTGTTAACGGGGTTAAAAGCAGATTCTGCCCAAGTTTTGGAGTCGGTAGCGAATTCCAAGATGGCGGATTGAGGGACATTGGCGATGTAGCTGGTTTCTGCAAAGCTGTTGAATGAGAACCAGCCACCGAGTTGGTAGAGCTTTCGAGTTACCTGAGAGTACCAGAGAGTTCCTTCGACCAGGGCGTTGGGGACATCCGGAGGCTTGTCAAGGACGCTGTGTCGCCAGATATCTTGATTTGTGAAGTTGGCGGAGAGATCAATGATAAGAATCACATCGTCTGGGTGGACTGACTGGAGGTTCGGGAGGACACTTGCTCATTCCCAACTCGTATTGTCCAAATGGTTGCGTGTTGTATGTTGCGTTGCTATTAGGAACGTACTACTCGGTATCAATATCTCTCCCTAGCACATCGCGACAGTACTCACCGTATTTCTGCCATCAACGTAGATCTTGCCATCAGCGTAGACACCTGGTAAGGACGGATTAGCATTGCTTCTTTTTGCAGCTGCAACAGTCCCATCTGACCCTGTTCGTTGGAGATATCTCAATGGGTGCGGGCGTGCAGAACAAGTTCATCTTGGCTGTCCATTAATTTCAAAGTATGGGTTCCCTCTGGTTCGATCGTCCTAAACGGCGATGGAGTCATAGCTCTCTCATCATTGACTTTTCAAAGAAGAGACCACTGTAGGATGATTTGATGATCACTCTGCCACCTTGGTTCTAGTGCTATCTTTGCTTGTCGGTGTATATTTGGTGAATGCATCCCCAGTTCGTAATCATTGTCGAGAGGGAGAGATCTCCAATTGGGACCCAGGAAGAAGCTCAAGCGGGTAGGCGCCTGTACGTGTGAAAGAATCGAAGAACCCATAAACTTTGGGACGTAGCGGTTGAAAAATTGCTTGGTAGCTGGAAGGAAGCACAGATCTGCGTTGTCGGAGAGAAATATGATGGCGTCGGGAAGAGACTTACGATTCCAACATACAGCTCCAGAGCTAGTTCACCCGGGCTGGAAATGCTGTCCATGTCTTATCCCAACCGGTCGTGACTTCATGTAAATAGTAAGTCCGCATGCACCAGCACGGATGATGATGAAGCCAGCCCTTAAGAGCATCGCAACGATGATCTGCTGTTGTCAAGGAAGCTTGAGCTTCCATACCGTCGATAGGGAAGAACGACGACGACAAAATCGGTCACCATGTTGATAATTCCGGTTGCGAGCGGATTTTTTGTTTCGGAAATGCAGTTTGTTTATGGTGTCAAAGATAGAGTCCAGTACAGAGAGGGTTTTCTGTTGAAATTGTTAGTAGTGAAAACCTCGCCATGCATAATGGTGGTTCATATTCGCATTGAAAAATGAAGGAGAAATGGAAAATGAGACACTCCACTGCAATTAGGGCCATGACGATGAGAACGACAGTTGCCATCTCCCTCGATCCGGCTGATACGACTTGATATATTAGAACCAGCATTGAGCATTTCGTCACTGCCGTAGGCCCACTGAACAAGCATTGCGTTGTGAGAGTCAATTTCTGCCCCGTAATGAGCTTGACAATTTCTACGTCCCACACTTATCTGTTCCATCCCAGATGTAGCTCAGCATATAGACTGAAGGTCATAGATGTTGCGGTTGGAAGTTGTATATATATATGTTAGTTGAGCTCACGATCCACGTAGAGGAAATGAACCCAGGTCACAAGGATCAACCAGTCATCAGCCCTAAAATTCTTCAAAATCCGCAGTCTTGTGAACACTCGAAGGGCGATGACCAGACAGACCAAGGACAAGAAAATAAGGTTGAGAATGATATTTTCTGGGCCTCTCTGAACCGGATCAATATAATTAGGCTTCGGCCATGATCTAAGCACTCATAGCTACTGGTAGTAGCTGCAAGTTTGTAATATGTGAAGCTTCAATGGGAACTCATGAAGGAGAATAACTAAGGGGTTCTGGCACATGAATGGAATGTGGAGAAATTACCAACAAACTCCAGGCGATCGATACGCGATGACGTTAAAAAAAAAAAACGGTTGAAGACAGTCTAGGTACTATCCCACCATGTGACAACGATCAAAAAGGTCATTGGGGATCATGGCGCTGACGGCATGTATTCCCCGATAGCGCTCGTTAGGAGCTGGGCTATTGAACTTTGTTGGTCTCACCTCACGGGGCGAAGAGAGAGTGATCTCTGAAATTCTGTCACTAGAATGCTGCAACACATTACTCGCTCCACTCCTTGAGCGAAGGATCATACAATACAGAAGACAAAATTGGACGAAAAATGACGTCTGGAGGGGACGAGTACATATCTCAGCCTTTTACATGCAGGGTCGCCTGTGCTATCCCTGAAGTCCCTGAAAGGAAGCCGCCCGCGGCTGGCGTGATCCGTGCCATGCGTCCAGACTTTGGGATCAACATAGGGGTGGTCGCAGATGGATAATTTGGGATGACGGCTCTTCGCCCTGCCTCAAGTAGCTTTGGGGCTATCATTAGTCGACCAATGTCGAGGCGAGATATCTGCCATCTGACTTTTGACTTTGACCTCTGCACGTGGAGGTGTCGTTAGAAATTTTGATGTCTGATAAACTCAAAGTCAATTCATAAAGCTTGCGGTCAGAAAGTGGGTGCCGAGAGGTAGTTACTGGCACTGAAAAGAAATTTCTCGAAAGATGGCAGTACCAGATCCTCAAATAGGTACCTAAGTCGGGCAAGCTGAAGCGACAGTAGTCCACAAATGCGCCTCCACGCAAAAGAGCTCTGACTGATACGAAAGAGGTGGCCAAGGAAAGTCAAATTTGGAAAAAGGGGGAGCAAGCACGCGTCAGGGCTCTCTTTGTTCAGCATGTGGCTCCCTTTCTGAACCACCTGGCCAAGAAAGGGGCGTGTCAGCTTCTCGACATAGCTAAACTACACAGAGGTTTCGCAGCGGACTGCAAGACACTACTGTGCCATTCAACTACCTGAGAAGTGTTGGTCTTCATCATCCGGGTGCTTGCTGGGAAAAAGTTCGTTTCGAATATGAACAAGAATTGTGCAGAGAAATATTAATTTTCAACATATAGTGGCTTACCTGGTAGATCGCCAACTAACTGGGATGGCAGAGTCTAGTGTCAGATATTGTCGTGTGAAAGTCAGGCTCAATGTCTCCTTTTCATTGAGTTCAGTACTTGTGCTTTGCTGACGAACTCACGAGCTTCTTCTTCATGTGCTTCGGCATCTTTTCTTTCCTCTTCTCGCGTTTCTCCTCCTTGACAGCTTTTTTGTGCTCCTGTTCATTGTTAGCGTACCCCTAGCCACAAAACATATCCACATGCCTTTTTAGCTTCTTTGTCCTCGAATCTCTTTCCCCGTGGAGTTCCCTTCTCGAATCGAGACTCGTCGTCACTATCATTGCTCCCGCTGCCCCTTTCACTCGCATGAGAAGAACTGCCTCCCATCACATCTTCGACATCCGCTTCAATCCCTGACGACATTGGGATCTTATCGGCCAACAGATTTCGATACACCAAGTCGTCTTTCTGCCCCTTGCCGACCTTCTCTGCATCTCGCTCGATATCGTAGACCTGATCTAACGTCTGAGGAATGTATTGCTTTCGAAATACCTCGTTCTCGACTTCTTGCTCTGCGGCCGCTTCCTCACCCTCCTCAACGGCTGGCCTCTCAACAAATAACTTCTCCAAAGCCTCCGCAAGAGGAGGATCTTTCACTGATCCGTCGGGTGAAGTGACGAATCCAAACACCGTCTGCTCGGGAAGAACCTCCACATTCTTTCTTCTGAAGAAATCCGAAACGTTTTTGATGTCCATTCTCAAGAATTCCAAGGACCTAGGGTGATCATGCTCCACAGATTGCGAGACATCGATAATGAATAGCTTCTTCAGATGGTACAACACATTGTACTCACTCAGATCTGCGTGTACAAGTTTGCAGGTTTGATACATCCGTCGTATGAGTCCAAGCAGTTGTAGATAAAGCACCCTCCACTGCTCATCCACATCTTCTCCTTGTAATTCAACATCTCGTAATCTTGGAGCCGCCCAACCTTTCTTGTCGCCGAGGAAGCCCATGACAAGGACGTGTAGACGCAAGTAGACAGGCTCGGGGCATGGAATGCTTGCCATGTGTAATCGTTTCAAATTTCGGAACTCCTTCTCTGCCCACACTTTGACCATCGCACGGTTGTTTCCCTTATTGTAACCTGTCCTAAAGCGATATTCTCCTGTGACGTAACGATCTCGGTCCTTGAAGACAAGAATGCTGGTTTTATAGACCTTGATGGCTCGATGAATTGGCTGGCTCTCTTCTCCTCCCTCTGAGGTCGGTACTGACAGCGCGCCGTACACGTTTGCCTCCTTGCCCGTGCTTAAGCACCCATTTACCTCAGATACGATGCCTCGGTTGATCATCTGGAGCAGAATCATCCTCGTTCGAGGGTCGAGAACTTGCTCGCTGGTCGCCCGGTCTGATTTATCCTTTCCATGAGTCTTGTGTCCCTCTCCGCCGCCATCCAGCCTAATCTTGCCTGCATGCTTTGCAAGGCTAGAAATTTGGTCATCTACACTGGCCTGTGTGTTCGCAGTCGGCTTTTGAGGATTTATTCGAGGGGCTGTTGCACTTTGGTCGTTAAGTTTTCGTTGACGGTTGTATGATTTTGTAAGATCTCCTGAAGTCCCATCGAACTCCATGTCATCGAAATATTCCTCATCGTCATTCTCGAAGAGATCATCGTACGTTTCTCCCTCGTTGTCAGCTGCGTACCCGGTGGGGGTTTGTGGCGGGGCATCTTGAGAGGCGTTCGACGTCTGATAGCCTCGATTTGGAATGTAGGTGTGCGTAGGAGCATGTGCCTCAGCTAGAGCGGACATATCTAAAGGAGTAGACTCTTCGGCCATGGCTGAGATGTTGGTGTTGTGGTGGTGGTGTGAGGCGTGTTGTATGCGTGGACTTTCACTCTGTGCGGATCATCCAGAAGTTCAAAATTATTGTTCGGCAGAATCTTCACCGCCTTTTTCGCGCTAGCGCTCTTCGGGAATATCGCGACTTCTGAGCGCGTTTGCTCAACTTTACAAATTAACGCGTTTACGACGACATGACCTTTCCCCTCTTCGAAAAGAACGACCTGGAAGCATAGTTGCAACATCAAAGCCTCTGGGAATCCTAACTACAAAGTCTGCAGGACCGGTGACGCGCTCTGAATTGTCCTTTAACGTCTTGAGCTGCCCCTCCGGCGGCAACTGAAAGCAAAGATGTACATCAAACAGATCATCATCCAGGGCTTCAAGAGGTGATTCTCTTCGTCAGTATTCAGAGGATGACTGACATTTGGCAGTTACAAGGAGCAAACTGTCATCGAACCCTTCTCGCCAAAGACAAACGTGATTGTTGGTCGCAATGGTTCAGGAAAGAGTAACTTCTTCGCGGCGATTCGATTCGTACTCAGCGATGCCTATTCTCAGATGGGTCGCGAAGAGCGACAGGCTCTCTTGCACGAAGGTTCTGGGTCTGCCGTTATGTCTGCCTATGTTGAGATCATCTTTGACAACAGCGACGACCGATTCCCAACAGGAAAGGAGGAACTTATTCTGCGCCGAACAATTGGTCTGAAGAAGGATGAATACTCTCTCGATCGCAAGAATGCGACGAAGACGGATGTTATGAATCTGTTGGAGTCTGCTGGTTTTTCACGATCCAATCCATATTACATTGTCCCTCAGGGACGTGTTACAGCATTGACTAACATGAAGGACGCCGAGAGACTGAATCTGCTGAAAGAGGTTGCTGGAACCCAAGTGTATGAAGCTCGTCGAACGGAATCCTTGAAGATCATGACTGAGACGAATAACAAGCGCTCCAAGATTGACGAATTGCTCGATTACATCAAGGAGCGACTTTCCGAATTGGAGGAGGAAATGCAGGAACTGCGAGCATATCAGGAGAAGGACAGGGACCGCCGATGTCTTGAGTATGCATTCTATCACCGAGAGCAGAATGCCTTGGCTGCGGCTCTAGATGAGATCGAGGACGCGCGACTGAATGGAATCGAAGGCACCGATGACAGCCGGGAGGCATTCCTGGAGGGCGAGAAAGCAATCGAGGAACTAAATGTCGAGATTAAGCAACTTACTCGTCAAATGGACCTTCTCAAATTAGAGAGACGTCAGCTGGAAGAGGACAGACGAGAGACCTCAAAAGCTCAGGCGAAGGTTGAGTTAGCCGTGAAGACTCTGACGGACGGTCTTTCCGCTTCAGAGCAGGCACGAACCCGGCACCAGCAGGAGCTCAAGTCTGTGAAGCAAGATATTGTGTCGAAGGAAGTCGAGCTCGCAAAAATCCTCCCCGAATACACGAAGAGAAAAGCAAAAGAAGGCCAAGTCAAGCAAAATCTCGATGTTGCGGAAGCTAGCCGAACAAGACTTTACAACAAGCAAGGTCGCAGCTCACAATTCAAGAATAAAGCAGAACGCGACGCTTGGTTGAAGGGCGAGATTGCAGAACTCAATACTGCACTTGGAGAGCAGAAAGCAAATCGTATCAATGCAGATGAAGAGGTAAAGTCTGTACAATCCGAAATCCGAAATCTGGAAGGCGAAATTACAGGGTTACGAGAACGAATGGAGGGCTGGGGAGGAAACCGACAGGCACTGCAAGATGAAGTGACATCCGCAAAAGACAGCCTCGAAAAGCTGAATGACGAGCGGAAGTTACTTCGCAGAGAGGACGATAAGCTTGAATCGGTTATTGAAGACGCCCGCCAAGAGCGAGACAAGGCTGAGAGAGAGCTATCTCATACCATGGACGGTGCTACTTCCCGTGGTCTCGCAACGGTCAGACGTCTCAAGCAACGAAACAACATCTCCGGCGCTTATGGAACTCTTGCGGAGCTTCTTGAGGTCGATGAAAATTACCGAATGGCAGCCGAGCAAACCGCTGGCAACAGTCTTTTCCATTATGTTGTTGATAACGCCGATACTGCCACCCTCCTGGCTGACGCACTTTACAAGGAGAAAGGTGGACGAGTTACCTTCATGCCCCTTGCTCAACTCAGACCAACATCAGCCAAGCTGCCAAATGCATCGGACGCTGTACCAATCATACAAAAGCTTACATACAACAAGAAATATGATAAAGCGATGAAACAGGTTTTTGGAAAGACGATTGTCTGCCCTTCATTGCCTGTCGCTGCTCAGTACGCCCGAAGTCACGGTTGTAGTGCTATCACCCCAGAAGGTGACACTGCCAACAAGAAGGGTGCGATGACTGGAGGCTACATTGACCCTCGCAAATCAAGACTTGAGGCTGTTCGTGTTGTAAACAAATGGCGTGATGAGTACGACTCGTTGAAGGAACGCTCCACAGAAGTCAAGAAGGAGGTCGAGCAAAAGGAACAGGAGATCACCGCTGCCATGGGCGAGTTGCACAAGTTGGAGCAAAAGCTTAATCGTCTAGACGACAGCTTCGATCCGTTCACGAGAGAATTGCGGGGGAAGAGTTCGCATCTCGAAAAGCAAAGAGGCCAGCTTGAAGCCAATATTAAGCGACGGGAAGTGGTCGAGAAGCTGATCAAGGATTACGGTGACAATCTCACCAGCTTCGAAGCAGAACTAGCCACGGACTTCAAGAAATCATTGACTGCAAATGAAGAACGCCAACTGGAGCAACTCAATACCACCGTTCAGGACCTACAAAAGCAGTGGAATGATATCAGCAAGAGCCGACGAGAGCTTGAGGGCCGGAAGCAATTACTTGAAGTGGACCTGCGGGAGAACCTCCGAATGAAGCTTGATCAACTGAACAGCCAAGAGATCGACACAACTGCTGGCAGTGGCTCCGGTAACCTGAAGGAGTCCCAGCGTGAGCTCAAGCGCGTCCAAAAAGCTGCTGTTGCAGTTGAGGGCAAGTTGGAGGAGAACGAGACGCAAGTTGATGAAGCTGAGCAGCATATCGCTGGACTACAGAAGCAAGTGTCCCTCAAGGCGGAGCAACAACAAGAACTCGCGAGAGCTATTGAAAAGCACCAGAAGAAGATGGAGAAGAGTGTCGCAAAGAAGGCATTGCTGACTACGTCTGCTGCTGAGTGCGCGAAGAATATTCGTGATTTGGGTGTTCTTCCGGATGAAGCATTCGAGAAATACGCTAACATCGATTCCAAGACTGTAAGCAATATCCTGCCTTTGGTAACTATCTTGCTAACACCATCCCAGATTTCTGCGAAGCTGAAGAAGGTCAATGACTCTCTCAAGAAATACAAGCATGTCAACAAGAAGGCGTTTGAACAATACAACAACTTCACCACTCAACGAGACAGCTTGCTGAAGCGACGAAAGGAACTCGATGACTCTCAGACTTCGATTCAAGACCTTGTCGAGGTCCTAGATCAACGTAAGGATGAGGCAATCGAGCGAACTTTTAAGCAAGTATCCAAGGAGTTCGCTTCGATTTTCGAGCGTTTGGTCCCAGCTGGCCGTGGCCGATTGGTCATTCAACGCAAGACCGATCAGCGTGCTCGAGAGGAGGAAGACTCTGATGATGAACTTCGTGAGAGTGTAGAGAACTACACCGGTGTTGGCATCAGCGTGTCCTTCAACAGCAAGCACGATGAGCAACAACGAATCCAGCAATTAAGTGGTGGACAGAAGAGTACATCCCCTTCTCCTCAACGTTCCTCCTAAGTTAATAATTTCCAGGTTTGTGTGCCCTCGCCCTCGTCTTCGCCATCCAACAATGCGATCCCGCCCCCTTCTACCTCTTCGACGAAATAGACGCAAACCTCGACGCCCAATACCGCACAGCCGTTGCACAAATGCTCGAGGAGATCTCCGCTCAGCAGAGCAGCGAGAACGCCGAGAACGGCGCCGGCGCCATGAGCGGACAGTTCATCTGCACGACTTTCAGACCAGAGATGTTACTTGTGGCTGATAAGTGCTATGGTGTTACGTTCCACAACAAGACGTCGGGTATTGATGCTGTGAGTAGGGAGGAGGCGCTACGATTCGTGGATGGCGAGGCGCCGAAGTAAATGGCTTGTAGATTAGTTTGTATGTGTCATCTGAGGCAAGAAGGAACGAGATATTGATTTGGTTGGCGTTTTGGGCAATTGACTTTGCTTTGGCTGGATAGCTAGCTAACGCTACAGATAATGAATATTGACGATTCCTCGATGTACTTCTTTGCTTGGTACAGTGTGCTTGTGTGAATGTCCTTTTTGAACTTGAACACTGAGGCTGTAACGTTCCAAGATTTTTCGATTGAATGCTCAAACACGATGCCCCTCTGGATTAGGACATCCAAATGACCTGAATGTCCCATTGTTTTGTTAAGCATTGAAGCTCCTCAATGTTCCCCTCAATTTTGTACAATTAAAGGAACTCGTTGACCCACCTTATATCGAACACTGACTTCTCCCAAAGTCCGTACCTGAGGTTGTAAATTTGTTTGTCCCCATCGTTCCTCTTGCTTTCGTACATTGAACTCTACACAATGTCCTCACTAATCTGGAACAATGGATAACCCCTAGAATCTACCACCTTGATTTCAAAGCTCACAACATCACAAGTACAATGAATAAAGCCGAATTTAAGAAATCCATGCATTGTATTTTGCGGAATCTAAAATACACGATGGTGAAGTGCCCGCCCATTGTACCACACTGCCGTGGCCCAATCATCGGATAAAGCAATGCATTGAATCTTCTAGAGAAGCGCAGAACTGTGAAGACTCTGCTCCGGCCGTTGCACACATGCTTGTGAATGTCCCGCGAAACTTTGCGTAATGAGAATCAAATGAAGATTTGGTGTTCGTATAGAACAATGGGAAGGAGAAGGGAGAATCAGTTCCTCGGTCCCTTAATGGGAAACAATCGAACCTCCATCCTAACCGTGTCAAACTCAACCCACTGCAACTGGTCTTCATCCCGATCAATATCAGCCTCGAATACCTTCCTCTCCTCATTAGCCTTGTCCCTCAATTCCCTAAGCTGTGGTGCCAATAAATTTGTATGTTGTTCGACGTAGTCCATTCTCGCCCTCTTTGGCTGCAACAAGTCGATGAGGCGTTTACATGCGTCGTGGTTGGCCATTACGAGCTGCGAAAAGTGGCTGAGGATCTCCGGTTCATTGTGGTGGATGTGGACCTCGCCAGTCTCTTTGTCGACTTTCTTCTGACTAAGGAACTGCACTACAAAGTAGGTCTTCTCCTCGAGGCGGTTATCAACTTTTGCGGGATCGAAGTCGATGATCTCGCCCGAAGACATTGGACATGCCGTAACGAAGACATCTGCTTGATTCTTGTCTCCTCGATCATAGGCCACAGTTGCATAGTATAGATCGTCGTCATCAAGACCTTCACTAATTGACTTAGTTGGTCGTTGGCGGAGCTTTTGGACTTCGGCTGCGGCATAGTCATTCGCCTCCTTCCTTGACATGAACTGAGCCAGAATGGCCTCCTTGCAATCGCCTTTGACGGTCAGCTCTTTACCATTGAAAGTAAGCTCCTTCTTAACAATGTATAGCATGACGAGCTGGTCCTCGGAATAGTTTGGGTTATTGATGAGGCCTCGAGCAGCGGAGGAGATCTCGGGTTGTGGTTTCTTGCGGCGGTTGTGGCGTTCATTAGGACGAGTGCGATGTTCAAATGAAGCAGTCATATCTGGGAGAGGCGGAACAATCTGCGCATCGTGCTCATCAGGACTTAGTCCCTTGCCTGCATTTGCTTCCTCATCATCTGCTTTATCGTCATCTGGATCACTCTCGCCTGAAACAGACCGGCTGTCGTTTCCCGCGTGGTCCTTTTGGGAAGTCTTTGTTGGCTCGGGGTCAGGATCTTCCTCGGACTCGGAATCAGATTGGAAGTTGGCAACGGTCTTCTTTGCAGCGGCACGGGCAAACGAAGTATTCCTTTGCCGAGCCAGAGCCTCCATGCTTTCTTTCATGACAGCTTCATTTCTTCGTCGCACTTGCTCCTCCAGAGTAAGCTCTTCGTCACCGGCAGCAGATGTGTATGAAGCAGTAATTTCAGGAGAAGCCCGGCTTTGACGTTGCATAAGAGCTTCCAAAGCGAGATTGTCGGGTTCAAAGTCTTGGACGCTCTTCTTTATAGCCTCTCTCTGGCGTCGGCGCTGTCTTTCGGCCTTTTTACATCAGCAACAAGCCTCGAGAACTCAAAAGGACATTACATACCTCCCGCTTGGTCATATATGCCTCGACTTGAGTCTCCAAGTCCTCTTCTGAAATGTCCATCCCGAGCCTGTCTGCCTCATCAATAATCCGCTGCTTTTGTCTCTCGCGGGCTTTCTTGTCCCCGTTCTTTCTGCGCTGCTCCTTCTGCTGCTCAGTTCTTGCTGCCTTCTTGGCTTCATTCTCTTTGGACTGCTTCGCATACTGCTCTCTCTCAATTTTCTCACGCTCGAGTTGAGAGATGAATTTGACCTTGTGAGGTAGCGGCGGTGGAGCCGACATATTGCTAGCAAAGGACGAGTTGGCGGAAGAGATGAAAGAAGGTAGAATTAGTTGTGAGACAGCGCTTTCGGCAATAGATGCAGATTCTGAACGAGGAGACACAACAGATTGGACTTTGGATTTTGGAAGGGGACGATCTTTCTTGGGAGCTTCGGAGGGTCCGGATCTCTCTTTCACAGGCTCAGGTCTTGGCGAAGGAGCACGTTGCACAGCCCTTGCGGCTTCTTGTCTCTTCCAACGCTCGTTGAGTCGAGACTCCCTGGCCAGTTTTTCACGTCGGAACTCGGCTTCCTCTCGTTCAGCACGGTAGGCGCTGATTGCAGCCTTGGGACCTAATTGAGCAAAGACCTGTGCGGCACTGCTGGGTCCGGCCGACTTGTCTCTGCTCCAATTGTCGGTCCTATTGGTGGTTAGATGATTGTTCGTAGCTTTGCAGTACATTGAAGGATGAACGAACTCAGCAGGTTCAGGCTCAGTCTCTGGAAGAAACAAAGAGTCTTCTTCGATGACAATATCTCCATCGTTATCACCTCCGGCGGCTTTCTCTCGATTTCCGGGCATAGAAACCTTCGCCGCGCTCAAAGAGCCAGCCTGCTTTTTGGCTTCTTCTTGCTTAGCCTTGCGCTTTGCAAGTTCTTCGGCCTCGGCTTGGACTTTTTCGGCCTTCTCTTTCGTTTCTCTCCCGAGCCGTTCGCGCCGCTGTGCCTCTTCAGCTACTTTCTTGCGATCAACCTCGATCTTCTCAGCAGCTTTTCTTCGCAACTCATCCCGCTCACGCTCTTCGAGAGCTTCTCGTCTCTTTCTCTCTGTATCTCGTCTAACCTTTGCTCTCTCCTCTTCCACTTCCTTGTCAAGCCTCTCCTTTTCTTCCTTCTCAGCCTCGACTCGCACTTTCTCCAAAGCAGCAAACTCTTCGGCCTCTTCTCTGGCTTGAATTTCTGCAGCCTTAGCAATCAGCTTTCGTTGGGACTCGGCGCGCATCTCGTCTTCCTTTCTCGCCTTCTCTTCTTCTGTAATGCCAACAACTGCACCAAATAAATCAAGATCCATTGCTTCATCTGCTCCTTGAATCTCCTTACTGACAATGAGATCAGCTGCACGCTTCTGCATGACTACTACCGAGTCCAGAGGTTGTTCAATATCTGCATTTCTCTTTTGTTTCTTCGGAGCCCTGGGAGTCTTTGGTGTTGACTTCCTTGGGCGGCTTGCAGACTTTGGAGTGGCACCTGACTTCTTTGCAGGCGGCTTCTTGGCTGGAGTAATGCGTTCTTTCATGGGAGCAGAGCGAACTGCTGGGAGAGGGGGAGCTGCTGCACTGTTATCTGGGGTAGAGAGGAGACTGATGACTTCTGACGATCGCTGAGATGCTCCAAGGAGAGGAACTTGTGGGGTTGCGGGTTTTGCCTTCGTTGTTTTTGGGCGGTCGTGGCTGAAAATGCTCGCTCGGGGCAATACACTTGCAACTTTGTACGAGCCTTCTTCGAAGTTGTTGCGAGGCACGTTCCCTTGACGTTGCTGTCTCCTCAAAATTTCATCCAACGGAGTGCTTTCGGAAGCATCATGTTCGAGAGTATCCTCCGCAGAAGGCGGCTGATATGGTGTCTTCTCTCCTCGGGACCGAGACTGCGGACCTTCACGAGCAATGCTCGTAGAAGCTACGCTCCTGCTGCGACCTCTCTGTGTTGTCGATGGACGTTGAGGAGATCCATTTGGAGACTTCGTTCTCTGTTGCGGAGGTGTGAACGGAATTTCAGATAATTGTCTGCGATCAATCTGATTCCCAGGAACTTGCTTTGATCCAGCCGGGACAACATTATACCCCTGGACGCGAACTCCAATAGGGAATCCCCAGGCATTCTTTCCAGACATGTTTGCGTTGGGCCACAGGGGACTGCCGAGCTGTGGTTGTTGCTTTCTGGTCGTCGGGCTCTCACGATTTTCCGGTTGAGACCTAGCATCGCCCTCAATTTGCGACTTCAGTTGATTTTGTACACCAGCCGTCATTCTCCGTCTGAAATGTTCCTGCTCATTATGTTCCGCAATATCACGGTGACTAACTTGGCGATGATGCTGAGACTGAGCTCGGAGATGCTCCCTGTTTTCTTCATAAATTACCACTTGTTGCAAAGGGTGCGGGCTAGACACGTATTGTTGGGGTGAGCGTTGCTGGGAGGTCCTGAATTGGCTTTCGGGAGACGAATGATGAGAAATCGTTTGTCTCTGAGTTTCGAGATGTGGAGTAAGGTATTGTATTGGGCGGTCATGAAGAATTCTGGTGTGAGGAATCTGTTCGTAAGGAGATTGAGAAAACCGACGGTACACTTCTTCTAGATAAATTTGTCCTTCATCGGCATGGCGATGTTCGTAACTTTGAGGTGGTTCTTCGAAGAAAAGCTCCCTTGTATGACCAGGAATTGGCCTCGATGGTTGCATCATTTCCGGAGAACTGTAAACTTGTTGACGCTTGGTCGGAACCTCGTACATCACAGATGGACTTCCCAGTCTCTTCAGCGTCGATCTGGTGGGAGGACATTCTTCTTGGATCCAAGAACCGCCACTCGAAATGGTAATGGGAGTTCCATGCTGACTTCGCATGAATTGTCGTCGTGGGGTAGAGTATTCTTGTTTCGGAACATAAGTCTGGTGGGACTGCCTAATCATCTCTTCCGGTCGAAGAGAAGGTGAGTCGAGATTATTTGCCACCACTTCGGGAATACCACCGAAGCTCCACGATGATCCACCCAACACCCTTTCCGTCATCGATGGACCCTCTCGATACGTGGCTGTGGAACCTCCATCTCGTTGCCAGTCAGAAAGTCGCCTACCATCGCTGTGTCGATACATTGTCCCCAAAGATTAATTTAATAGGGCTTCTTTGTGACAAACAACTTTGGAGCGAAACAGAACCAGGTCACTGTCAACTATTGATCGTAAGTGAGAAACCGACCAGAGTGCACGACCATTTAGGACATTCAATTGCTGGAATCTTGAAATCTTGTTGTACTCAATTTTTGGGTTCAATAAGCGCCTGACACAAGGGCGAGTATGTCGGACTTCAGTTGGGTCACAACTCCCGAACGTGTCCTCATAAGCTGGGCGTCGATTGATAAAAAGATCAAACTAACAGTCTCTTGGCATCAATTGCGGGAAACACCAAGCCTCGTTGTACTCAATCTTCTGGTTCAACGACTGTGTCCAACCCGTGTAGTTGAGGATTTGAAAACTCGAGGGTGTTGCAATATTGATGGAGGGAGGCTGGACATCGACTAAGTAAGTAGGGACTTCGGATACTGTAGGCGAGAAGCCAAGTCCCACGTAATGCGAAAGTCCAAACTTATTTCAAGATTGGCTGGTGGAGGTAGTGTAAGTCGAACTTGTGAGGAACGGATGGGGAAGCGGAGCAGCAGGAGTTTCGAAGATCTTGTCGACAACGATTTGTGGCTTTTTGGGATTGGTGGGGAACGATAACACAAGTTGGGACTTCAAGTGGCCCGGAGCTAGCAATGAAGTTGAAGGAGTGTTGAGGAGCCGGAGTTGTTGTGAGGTTGAGAACGGCGATGAAGGTGGCGGTGTAAGTTGAAGATTTGAGGGGTGGAAGTGTGAAGCAAAGTAGGTTAAAGGTTGAAGAGGCAGCCAAAGGTGGATTGAGATGGAGGGGGAGATTGAGGGAGATGGAGATGTAGTTGTGGTGTTGTAGGGTCGATGGAAATATTTGGCGGAGTTGATGAAGTAAATTGCGGCGGAAACCACAAGTGAAGTTGCAGGTAAAGAGCCGAGAATCTTGGTAGGTTGATGCGGAAGGTGGCGATGTAGATAAAAACCTCGAGGGGTGGGCACCAAAGGTGAAGTAGGATGAAGAGGCGGTCGAAGATAGGTTTTGATGTTATGAGGTCGATGGAAGAAATCCAAGGCAGACGGCGATGTGAATTCGGGGAGGAGGGGAGTTGCAAATTAAGAGTTGGCGATGTTGGGAGGGTTAAGTAAGAAGTGGAAAGTGGCGTTGTAAATAAACCGTTATTGGGTAGAAGCGAGAAGAGTGGGGGAGGAGGAAGGTCGAAGTCGCAGAGGCTGTCGGGGTGGATCGTGGAGAAATGATTGAATATCTCTGAAAATAGAGGATTCCAAAAGATAACGCCAGAATCGAGGTAAGCTTCAGGTAGTATCGATTATGTTTTGTCGGATGAAGAGTTGGATTGGAGGTGGTCGATTTGGAAAGTGTTTGGAGAGCATCAGGGTTGGGAAGCGAGGTTGCAATAAGCGAGCGTCGATAGGGGAAAGAGCCAGTCCAGCACCTTCCCCGATAGCACTTGGCGAACGATTCTGTAGACAACTAAATGAAAGTGAGGAAAATTTTCCGAAAATTCTGGATCTCGTCAATGTCGTTGCAGCGAAATCCAGGAGCACGTAAAGGGGCATGTCTGCCCAGCCTGTCTTGGAGCGGTCTTTTCTGGGCCTCAAAATTCTAAAGCTCATCAGCCATTCCCAAAAAAAAGGGACTTTTAAGAGGTGTAATTTAAGAAACTCAGATAGCAAGTCAAACTTTACAGACGACGGTTCATCTGCCAATTCCTAGGGCCACACGGCTTGGAGGAGAAAGATTCATCTCATTTATTCTCATGCTACAAAGCTCGAGACTTGGCCTTGAAAGTTTTCAAAGGGTCCGTCTTCCGGCCAGTCGCTTTCTTGCCTTTACCCTTCACTTTATTGGCCAATCTAGACTTTCTAATGCGATTCTCTGTGGTCTTTCGCATGCCCACAAACCCGAGATCGGTTGGCGTAAGTCCCTTTTTCCCCTCTTTCGGCAGTAGGTAATCCGGTACATGCTTCAGATGTGATTGGACTCTCGCAGGTCGCAACTCTCCATCATGTCGAAGATGGTGCAGGTCTCCAGGATTCTCTTCAAAGTGTCTCTTCAGCTTCTCGCTCTTCATCAACTCCTGCCTTAACTCTCTTGTCCTAGCTTCCCGAATTGCGACTCCTGTCACAGCACGTAGAGCGTCATTCATACGATAGCGAAATGCTTCCACTTGCTTCATATCAAATTTGAAGGGTTGCACCTCTTTCCCTTTCTTTGCCTGGTGCTTCACGACCTTGGCCAGGACCTTCTCGTCGTCTTTTGTGGATTCAATGCTCGTAGGCTTGTGTTTTCGATACAATTCTGTCGGGACAACGAAAGAGAGGGCCATTCCAGTCTGCCCAGCCCGCGCAGTTCGACCAATTCGGTGGGTATACGATTTCGAAGAGATTGGCAAATCGAAGTTGAGAACGCATGCGACGTTCTTGAAATCGATCCCTCGCGAAACTCCGTATTCCTTGTCCTTTTTCACAACCTTTCGCTTCTTCCTTGAGGATTTCTTTGGCTCCTTCTTCGCACCTTCCTTTTCTCCGTCGTTGGTAGCAGCACTAACCTCTATCCCTTCTGTCTCTGCACTATCTTCGTCTCCTAAAACCTCGTGTTCGTCGGAGGCGATTATGATATCGTAAACGTTCTTATTGAACTCCTCAACAACGTGTATCCTGGAATTGACCGGTAACTCGGAGTTGAGAATACAGCTCTTGGTCCCAAATTGCTCCAGGAATAACTTCAACCGATAGCATCTGTCAATACCGGCCACGAATATGATACATTTGCCCTTGATAAGCTTCAGCTTAAATATGACGTACACCAGCAGGAACTTCTCGTCTTCTGCACATCTGATGTTTGGTTAGCAAAAGAAGATAAACTGGCGTGGTGAGAAACCCACTTCATGACATATTGGCTGATGCCTTCCCCGTCGATTTCACCTTCCTCCAACTCAAGCACAACAGGATTTCGGCAGAAAAGTCCCTTCAGAGTCTCGACTTCACTTGTTAACGTCGCACTCATCAGTATTGTCTGCACACCCTTCGGCATAATCTTAGCCACATTCTGCAGGTCGTTATCATAGCCATATGAGAGAACAAGGTCGGCCTCGTCGATAACCAGGTGTGCCAAATTGTCTAAGGAAAGAGCTGAGCTATTCAGATTGGCCGATGCTCGAGCAGGAGTCGCTATGACAATATCGGGGGAATCTGCGAGGAGAGACCGTAGCACAGCGTCGGAAACTTTGTGTGTGAGGTTGACCGCCCGTACATCCTTTGCACAGAAGGCAGAAAAGGATTCGACTGCTTTGTAGACTTGCTCGGCGAGCTCGCGGGTTGGGACGAGAACGAGGGCAGATGTGCGCGGGGTAGAGTTGGTCTGGAATTGTTAGAAGATCTCTTCGAGAACGACGAGATCGCGAACCTGTTTGTGCTTCAGAATTGAATGCAAGATTGGCAGCAGATACGCAGCCGTCTTTCCAGATCCAGTCTTCGCTCTCGCCAGAATATCACGGCCTTCCAATGCTAAGGGGATTGCTTTGTTTTGCACCGGGGTGGGCGTCCTAAAGTTTAGCTTGGTGATTCCCTGGAGAAGTCGAGTTTCCAGCCCTAGAGTGGCAAACGTATTCTCCTCTCTCTGTCCTCCAACCTCCTCCGCAGGTACAGGGACATCGTTAGCGTCCAATTTTCGTTTCATGTTGGCGTGTGTGAAGAAGTTGTTGGCACCTTGAAAGTTGAAGATCCTCAAGATTATTTTTGCAGGCCCACTTTTTTCAACCGCTAGCCAGATCACGTGCAAAAATCGACAACATCTCCATTCGGCTTTCCCAACCTCTCCCTCTATCCCTTTCCCCTTCATAAGTTCTCGAAGTATTGAGAATTATGTGGCGCTTAAAGCATTGTGCAGCTTGAGACCCCTCTCTAGCTTTGTGTGACAAAAGAATTCCGAATTCAGCAATTCGTTCCATAGGGTTGGTTGCAGCATTCCCCCACTCCTGTCGTTTGGAAATGCCTTTCCACAGTGCTTCCAATCTTCTTCTCACTTTAATTCTTCTTTCTTCCTCTTCCTATCTAGTCTATGGAAGTTTCGCCACAGTTTCGCGAAAGTGAAGATAAACAGGGTGTGACCTCTGAACTACAATCGGAGATCCTACGCTCCACCTTCGTTATCGGTCTCCCCCACCTTTCAGTCGGGTCCCAATCAGTCTGGTCCCAAGTCAAGAAAGTTTCCATTCTCAGTGTAATTCCTCCAATATTTACGAAATTGGTAGTGCTTCAGGGATTTGTAACTCTATCCCTCACAATGGCCAAACAATTTGAGAACAAAATCATCCTTTGCACAGGAGCTGGTTCAGGAATCGGTCGAGCAACAGCCATCAAGCTCTCCCAGCTCGGCGCGACCCTCGCTCTGACAGACATCAACCCCTCTTCTCTTTCCGAGACGCTATCCCTCTGTGAAGATGGAGACCATTTCATCTCCGCCTTCGATATTGGTTCCACAGAAGCCTCCAACGCTTTTGTAGCCTCCATTATCAAGAAGTACAGCAAAATAAGCCACATCTTCAACTGCGCAGGCGTAAACCCCACCTCTCTCTCAACCGTTTCCATAACCGACGAATACTGGGACAAGCTTCTAACCACAAACCTCAAAGGCCTCTTCAACATAACCCGCGCCTGCATCCCACATTTAACATCCGGAGCCTCCTTTGTGAACGTCTCTTCTATCGCGGGTCTCAGGCCAACGGCAGGATTTGCGGTGTATTGTGCAAGCAAGTATGGTGTAATTGGTTTCTCCAAGTGTTTAGCGTTGGAGTTGGGACCAAAGGGAATTAGGACGAATATTGTGGCACCAGGGTATGTTGACACGCCGACGAACGCTAGCGTGGTGGCGGGGAAGGACGCCGTGGAAAGTATGGAGAGGCAGGTGTCTTTTGGAAGGATGGGGACGCCAGACGAGGTTGCGGATTTGGTGGTCTTCCTTTTTGGCGACGAGAGTCGGTATATGAATGGGAGTGTGGTGGAGATCAATGGCGGGTTGGTTTAGGAGGAATGAAAATCTGAGACCTGCGGACTTTTCCTATTTGTTCGAGATGTTGTTGCCACTCGAAGTTTCGATGTCGACTTTTTCGGGGTTGTGAATTGCCAGGTTTGGTGGTGTCGTGCTCCCCTCTCCTGTTCTTCTCCTTCAGCTCCTCTCCATCTCATACACCACACTTCTTCGCCGTCTCCCAACTCCACAGCATGGTTCCCCCCCCCAGCCTCAGACACCACTCTAGAATCCAACTCCGATGCTTCATTTTTCAGCCCCCAGTCCAAATTCCTAGATCATATTAACTCTAGCCTGTTGCTTCCCAGGGAATGAGAAGAACTCACGAAGGACAACACATCACCGCACTCGTCTCGCCCCTAAGTGTTGTCGAGAATCCAATTGCATTCGTCTGCGCCTGGCACGCCCTAGCCCAACCACCAGGACATACTCCTGAAGCTATATACTCTCATTAGCCCTTTCCCTCAACCTTTCTCCAGTTTGACCTATGATAATAATATTCGTTATTCCACGTGCTCCCACTAGTAGTCGCGATGGTACTCGGATAACAAGCGCCATTTCCCCAGATATAATAATTAATAAATATCTTTATTGTAATATAGCTTATTATAAGGGGGAGGTCGTTATAAGATAGCTGACAAGAGTGGCTTTGAAAGGCAAGAAGCTGGAGATATAAAGATCTATATAACGGGCTTGCAATTAGTAAAGAGAAAGGCGGACTAGTCGGACTAAAAAGAGGATGGGATTTTGCTATTTAAGCTTAATAGTTTATAAGTACTTTCTAATAAAAGCAAAGAAGGAAATAAGAGAAGAAGAAGAAGTGAGGTTAGAGGAAAATATAGAAATAATATTGCTTTATAAATTAAAATTATTATTACTTATAGCTATAGATATTCTTACTATATATTCTTGCTATATTAGATACAGGCATTTGAGGCAAGCAAGCTTAAAAATACAGGGGCTTTTCATTTTATTCTATTATTCTAATCAGGTATTTAGCCCGTTTCATTATCTCGTATAGCTAGTATAATGTATTTTGTCGGCCGCGACTTGCAAATCCGTATATGGGGATATAGGGGTGACTAATAATTAATATTATATGAATATGACGATCTCGCCAAACGCGTGGGTTGATTAAGGGCACCTGGATATATGCGAGGGGCATAGCGTAGGTGAGTAATCAGAGATAGTGTTCGTCGGGAAACTCGCTTAACCCCTATATCTGAGAGGGAAGACATGTACGCTTCGTTGAATATGCGACGACAAGGAACGCCCCCTACTAAAACCCATGGGTCTTAAGATCTCAGCAATTGCTGATTCAGTCTGGGTTAAAGGTTGACTTTCCGAATATGTCCTGGTGTCAATAACTAGCCATCACTCCCGTGACTTATAGTCCGCTTCACAACTCCATTATTCCCATTAAAGAAATAGGATCTATAAAGCCACCCCACATTGTTTCTTCTAATAAGAAGCATGACCTAATATATCAAGAGCCAAGCCGATCAATCTATCGCTATCGCAGAAAAACCATTCGTCTATGATGCCTTGATCAGTTCGCTTAGCTTCTCTTAATTCTCTCCCTCTCTCAGGGGTCGAGTCCCATGGTTCCTTCTACATTACGCATATTCACTCGCTATATTTGTCAGCCATTTGAGTATGCTAAGAGCCGTCTTAGTGATCGGGGTTGTATCATACAGGCATATACTGGAAATGGTTGCAGGGGTTGTTCACAAGGGAAGATGTGATATATGGAGACGATGGCGTAATGCTCGGAGCAACCTATTACAGGCAATTTGGCAGAGAACGCAACTTTGGGCGATAACAACCTGCATAATCGCACCCTTGCAGCCGCGCTTGAACCCACTCCTCTGGCAACGACCTAACTTCCGATGCGAGACTTCAGTTTAGACGTGGGGCCGAGGCGATTACTGTGGTGCATTCCTTCTTCGAAGGGGGTGGCAAGGACCCATGTATAGACCGGGTGGGCCGAATCGAAGGGGAACTCGCAAGGAAAAGACAGCTAGAAATCAACTACCAGATTGACGTGATTGCTAGTAACAATGAGGGCATTGCTGGATTAGTTCTACAGTGGGACAATCATTTCTACAAATATGGGATGACATCCGTAGAAGCTGTTCTCACCCCACAAGCATCTGCAAAGTGGAATACTTAAACAATTATGGGAAAAGCCGACGAGGGCATTGGCCCGTACAGCATAGACCTAGAAGCTTCGCCTAACAGCTCACAGGACCAGCTCATCGTAAAGCCAATCAAGACATGGAAAGGTTACATCTGGGATACCTGGGAACTTCCCAAGGACCAGCGCTGGTTGTTGTTCAAACTTGACGCCTTTGTTCTCACCTTTGCTTCTGTGAGTGAGCTTTCTTCTCTCTTCCGAAGAAGCACCTGTCCTGACAAAACTTTCTCAGATCGGCTACTTCCTCAAGAACCTCGACCTGTATAACGTCAACAATGCCTTCCTCAGCGGCATGGAAGAGGACCTACAGATGTATGGAAACCAGCTCGTGACTAGTACTTCCATCTATACTGTGGGATATGTCATTGGACAGATACCATCTAACCTGCTACTGACACGAGTGACACCCCGCTGGGTCATACCCGCGCTCGAGGTAGGCTGGGGAATCGCCACAATCTGCACGTCGGCCGTGAAATCCTACAAGGCTCTCTATGCCCTACGGTTTCTTGTGGGGCTTTTCGAGTAAGCTTGGCTCTCACGTCCCTATCTTCTTATTGCGTTCATGAGAAGCTAAATCATGTTGCACAGATCTGGCTTCTATCCCGGCATTCACTATCTGCTCGGGTCATGGTACACTCCTCAGGAAATTGGCAAGCGGGCTATGATATTCTGGCTCGCCGGATCTATTGGACAGTTATTCAGCGGTTTCCTGCAAGCAGCCGCCTACACAAACCTGAGCGGCGTGGGTGGCCTCGCGGGTTGGAGGTGGCTCTTCATTATCGACGGCATTATCACGCTACCTCTCGCCATCCTTGGCTTCCTGTTCTTCCCCAACTTGCCACAGGGCGGAAAGAAGACTTGGTGGACGACGGAGGAGGAGCATGCCATCTCAGTGAAACGTATGCAAGCTATTGGGCGAGCTGGCAAGCAGCCCTGGACTAAAGATAAGGTCAGGAGGATCTTTCTCAGCTGGCACACTTATCTCCTCCCCTTATTGTACGTCCTCTGGAACAATGGTAGTCCCCAGCCTGCAATGGGCTATTGGTTAAAGAGCTTCAACAAAAAACCTTATCCTCTTCCAGGTACCACATTCACCGTGTCACAGATCAACCAACGTAAGACTTGTTTACCGTCCCCCGAACGATTTAAAGTTTTCACTGACATCTGGTAGTTCCTCTTACCACGACGGGCATCTTCATCATTATGGCGTTTGTCTGGGGATGGCTTTCAGACGGTCCTTGCCGAGGAGCACGCTGGCCCTTCATTTATTTTGGTGCATTGCTTACGGTGAGTTGTGAAGCCTTCGTATCCTCTCTCATTCTCTCCGGCCACTCGCTAACGACTCTCTTCTGTCACGTAGCTCATATTCAGTATTCTTATGCGCCAGATGCCTCTTTACCATGACATCTACCATCGAAAAGTTGTTTATTGGCTCAGCAATATTGGAGTGAGTTTGTTATCCCCAAAAGAATAAATCCATTTGCTGACGTGGCTCTCTAGAACGGTGCTGGTCCACTCATCCTCAGCTGGATCAACGAGATCTGCTCAGGTGACACGGAGAAGAGAGCCTTGCTCGTAGCCATGGGTAATGACCTCGCATATGTCGTACAAGCAGTAGCACCAAATTTTGTCTGGAAGACAACAGATTTCCCGCGTGCTAGAAAGGGATATACCTGGTCTATCGTCCTGCAAGTTCTACTGGGTGGGTTTACCTATACTATATCAAGCACCCAGAACATGCTGACAGAGTCTCTCAGTTCTCTTGACAGCTACTGTTCAGCTTCTTCTTTGGAGGGATAAGAAAAAGGCAGCCAGAACGGAGGATGACGGCGAGTTGTCACGCTACAACGGAAGTGACAGCCCACAGGTGGAGGGTAGCGATGTTGATGAGAAGAAGGCTATTCGTAGTAAGGAGGCCCCTATAGTGGGTGTGTAGTAGTTGAATGCTGGGATATTGACGTGGCCCGTTTCTGGTGGTCGTTTGCTACGAGTATCTTGTCGAATTGAATTTGCACTTTTGCTTATTCCCAGCGAAGACTTCAAGAAATATAATGAACGCCTTAATGGATCCTTGAATTGGGCGAATAGATGCGATCAAATACCATCAAATGGTTTTATTCTATTTGAGTAGAAGTCTTTGATTTCATGAAGGGATAAATTCTTGAAGTGTTGCTACTGAGCCGAGCGAGCTTCGCCTCCTCACATGATGCAGTGCTATTCAGATACCTTCTAAAACCTCGAAACTTATACGTAAACAATTTCTGACGGGTTTAAGAGAATAACCTCCGTATCATGTTCATCCACAACAGTGATGAGCTTCTAATAGGGATAAAATAGATGGCAATCACCTGATATGTGAACCTGGGAGAAAGACTGTGAGGAATTGGAACCCAGGAGAAACCCACTAATAAGATCGTTAAGACAGAAAAGGATTGTTACTCTGTGTAATGTAAAGACTATAATAATTCTAAAGTTATGTCTAATGTCGACCGTTTTATCGGGATCTACCATTGTTCCTTGATGAGCCCGTGTTTTGTATGATGACGGAAATAGATGTGCATGTGGAGGTGCCTCCATACTGAGCCCGGTCGAAGCAACGCAAGGGTAAAAGCATTGAGAGTGCAAACGATTGTTTGTTTCGAAGATAAAGAGCATGTAACCCCATTTCCGAACCCGCTCTTCCCGAAGCGAGCTTTTGCTTTCTCATCCCGAAGCCACTCTACCTTTATACATTTCTCTCTATTGTGGCATTGGCTTCGCAAATTCGCCACGATGCTGTGCGTAATTCCACAGCATGCGCCCTTTCGCTTTTAAGTTCTACTTAGCCACTCCGTACTGTGGGTTTGTGAGGGTTTAGAGTTCACAGCTCGTTCTCATAGGACACCCTTGGAACGGTCGTTTGGCAACGAAGTGCCCTCACACTACAAAATCACAAACCTGGGACACCTTCCCTTGGCTTTTTTGTCCCCCTACCGATGAGTGTCTCTTAAGGAGCTCTCTATGAACTATTCACGCTCACCCCCAGTGCTTATTATCAGCTGATCAATCTACCTGGGTAGATGAGATTAGGATCAACTTCCCTTCCCCGCCAAAATTCTTTTGGTAAGAACCCCTTAGCAGTGAACAACAAGATTATAGCGTTCCACAAGGTACATTTTCCCTCAAGGTGGCTTGAACTGGAGGCCGAGGGAAAGAATAGTCCTACCGGGATTCGTGATGCTACAGAAAACCACAAGACCATGGAATGCTGCTTGGAAGCTCTTAATTTATTCAACTCATCTCCAAAGAAAACATTTCATCCTATCTCTTTCTTATCCATCTTTCCAAAGCTTCAAGCTAACCCCTATCAATATCAATATCGAGTTCTTATACCGGCATCCATCATGTAGCCGATCTCTATTCTTTCCACAACCTTGATCTTCATGACCCCCGCCCTAGAATGTCTCAATACCACCGCCAAATTACCCACGACCCCTTTTCTAGCCTAAGCGGTATATCAGACGTCCAAGTCATCGACAACGGTCTCAAGGTCTACAGCAGTGACTTCGACCCCTCTATCGATCAAGAGGGCAGGCACTACGCTGTTGGTTGTCTCCCAGGCTACATCTACACATTTAAGCAAGACAGATTCCAGCCTTGTAAGTTTCCGTAGCTGAATTTCTTTCTAATAGTAATTTATGAGATGCACTTGATAAGAAGCAACTGCTAATCTCCTGGCCTTTGGAATATCGCAACGGGGATTTTGCAACCACGTTCGGCCAGCCTAATAACCCGGACAGTTACGGGTGGCATGGGCATGTGACGATAGAAAGGGGACTTGTGTCTATTGCACGGATTATGATCGGAATGTCCATGAGTTCTGCTAGAGTACAAACATAATGCAATTTCTCAGTCGATTGAAGAATGTTGATGGACGATCGATAGCTCTAGGAGTTGATTTTGTACGGGTTGATATTAATGCATTTTGAGTTAATTTGGCGTTGGATAGGGAAGTCCTTTTTATTTCCAAGCCATGAGAAGCAATCACTGTTGGTAGATCTAGCCACATGATATTTGACCTTACTTCCCCTTCGCTTTCACAAAATGGATTGAATTTGCAGCCTTTGCTAAGTGTGGCAATCCTTTCGCTCCTATAATCCTGTCACGATCTAAAAATTCTTCCTCCAACCTTCCTCCAACTTCAACTCCATAAAATTAAACTTCAATACGCCGCACAATGGCGATGACTCCTCCCTCCCAGAATGTTCCTGCCAGCAAGGCAACAATAAGGTTTGGCAACTCTCTCTCAGCCGAGCTCGTGGAAAAGAAACTCCAAGAATTGGAGCGGTCACAGAAGCAGCTCGTCGCATTGCACAACCAAAACACCGACACGTTCCAGGATATTATTGCCGTGACAAATGGGAAGATTGTGATGTACGTTCGGATACTTCCAAGCGTCGTGCTGGAGCAGACAAAAGATCCCATGCAATGGACTTCCGTGCCGAAGGAAGCACCACCTCCTCTAGTTTCGAGCACACGCGAAGATTTGATGACTGTTGGTTTCAATTCTGCTCTTACGGGATTGATGGATTTCCACTAGATTGATGACGCGTTGTTTGAGAATGCAACTAGCCATCGTGCTAATTCCGGGAGCTCTAAGACTTATATCTACTAATACCAGGACCTTAATAGGCTAGGGGCACCCCGTTACGCGCCTCCGGCGCGCTATAGCGTGCGGAGCGTGTGTGTATACCTTATAAGGTTTCACGTGGTAGACTAGGTAATTGGGCTCGTGAATCGGTAGGTCTAAAGCGATAAGTATATATAATATAAGTGAAGACTTAATTTTCGAACTTGAAGAGAGTTCTAGCTATGAGATAAAGCATTCTTATATAGCCTTAGGGCTTAGTTCTAGAATTTTCTAATAGTGAGTCACATGCTTACTAATTAGAATCTTCTAGATACTTAGCTTACAAATAAGAGCTATATGAAATATTCTAGAACTAATAATTACTAATGCTTACAAATGCTTACGTAAGCTTATAGTAAGTTCTAGAATATACTAGAAAGTACTTATTACTAATATCTTAACATACCTTGAGCGTCGTGCATTGAGGATATACTTTTTTAAACGATTACAAGGGGCAAGAGAGGGACGTGCTTCTTTTCCGGCTTTTGTGCGCGTGCCGGGGGCTAAAGAATAGCCGAAAAAGAAAGCCTTACTTTACGATAAATCTGCAAAAATTAGCTTGCTAAGTGCGGGGGAAGGGGGCTAGAAGAGAATCAAATTTTTAATTGCATAAGCACCCTCTCTGGGCAGACCCTAGAACGGGTGCTTATGCATCTAAGAGAGAGTCGAGATCAAAAATTACTCCTTTGGGTGTACACCCATGTTTTAGGAATGCTACGCGAGCAAAACAGGGATGTTGCAGGGATTGGCAGGGGCACACTGTTTTTGTATCTATTGTGCCATCAGCTTTCTATGGGAACAAGGTAATCTTACAATTCTTTTTACGATTCGGCTTTACCTCCAAAAACAATGACCGACACAAGGGAGGGTTTATCCTCCAGTCGACCTGCGCATCCCATACCTTGAATTTGTTGCTGAAAAGCAGAAGTCTGTCATCCGGGTTCTTGCAGCCAGTTCGGCTTTGATTTCGCCATTTTCGAGGGGTACGTCAAACCTACCATGCGCTTCGTCACTAATCCTAGAATGCGGACCATCTTCCGACAGCATCCTATTCGTTTGCCCTACGAACTTCAAGAACGCATTCAAAGGATTCCTGATCAGCTTGATCTGTCAAAGCCTACACTCGTCTTCGCTGAACTCTCCGATGCAGTCTCGCTGCTTACGAGTAAGCCGAGGCCATCATTTTCATGTCCTATAAGAAGCGTCTTGTCACCGGTAATATGCATGGCAAGTCTCCTTTCAAGATCCGGAACACCGTTCAGAAGTTCAAAACTATGAAGCATTTCCAGGCATATGAATTGAAGCTCTTTAATGACCAACTCGCTAAGGACATGCCGAAATCCGACGATATCAGGACGAGATTCAGCCAATTGGAAAGAACAATAGCGCGTTTGTACAGTACAATGTGAAATTGAAAGGGCGAAGGCAAGTGAAGAGGCAAGAGAGAAGCTTATCTTGAAGTTGATGAACCTCGAGCGGAATGAAGCTCTGATTGGATCTGGCCCAGTTTCAGAAAAGGATAGATTGGAAAATGAAGCTGAACCCGGACATGGTGTGAAGAACAGAGATACAGGGGGAGGGTGTAAATCGAGAGTATTCTGGTCGGTGAAGAACCACGGAAGGAGGATGAAACAATGAGAGAGAAATTCATGGCTGCTTTCATTCGATGGCAACATGATAATCCTACCAGTGGAGGCATTGATGGATTCATGGAATCAATGGGTCTACTGCAAAATGGCGAGAATGGAATGCCGTCGCAGGAGACCATCGAAGCATTGATGAAGATGATGGGCATTCAGAAGTGAAGATTAAATGTACCTGACTGCTGGCCGTCGATAGTTTGGAGCCAGAGATTGTACTTTATCAACCCGGCACATCGCCCACTTTGCAATTGAAGGCTGTATTACAATATGTTGACACAGCGAGACAATGCATCTGAAGTGTGAACCATGATACTAACAGTTTAATTGAAGACTTTACTGTAAGAGAACTAACATGGCACAGCTAGATTGAAAATTTTACAACGCTAACCATGCACGTCGTGAATCCACAATTGAGGATTACACTAGACCAACCTCACTCTATATGGCAAATTCAGATGAGAATTGAACCACGCCATTCTGAAACATTACGATTGTGAACTGACAGGTCGTCCTATTCCAATCCGAGAAAATGTTTGACTCCATCTAATGATTGTACTGTACGATACCATCCTGGCACGTTCAACAGATCAAAACAGCACCTCAAGCCCCTCAAATATCAAGATAAGCCAGAATACATAATCTACCAGCTCCAAACTCCTTAAAGACAACGAGCCCTTCAAGCCTCCTCCCTCCAAAGCCACCTCTCAAACTCTATTCTCCCCAACCCCTTCGGCACGCTCTCTGCCCTCGTCTTCCACTTCCCCGTAACCCCAAAGCTATCATGCTTCTGCGGATTCTTAACAAACGGCTTCATCTCCAAGTATGCGATACAATCATCTCCTGCAGCCATCTTCTTCGCCGAACAATACTGCCTCGCAAACACCCTCGCTCTCGCAAGATCCCCATGCATATTACAAACCTGAAAGCAGTCGAAATACAATCTCGATAACCTATCATCCTTCAACCCTTCCTCTTCATAAATTTTAGACAACCGATGACAACAAGCTAAGACTTCATCTGCGTGAAAGCGGACTTTCTTCGAGTCACCAATCATCTCGTCCAATTCCTCTGCTTCAATCATCCTCTCATCACTCGTTTTCAACTTCTCCTCAGGCAGCGAGCACAGAGCACAAGTACAGTCAAACCCAAAATACGTCTTCAAAATCTTCTGGCGTTCAGAAGAGGGCCCGCCGACATGGTAAGCAGTGCATATCTCCGTCCCGGCGGGAATAGTTCGTACAGCAAACACGGTCTCCTTCTCCACAAGTGGATTCCAAGCTTGCACCACATTCGGACAACAGCTGTGATTAATTCTCGAGACCGTCTCATATACGCCACCCGCTTCAGCGCCAGGACCAAGGGGTAGCCATTTGATCTCACGATCCCGCTCAAAGGTTTGTCATCAGGGTAGTTGTTGTACAAGGCCATGAAAACCTTCTGTGAAGATGGTGAGAGTGAGGAAAACTTTTTGCGGAGTTGCGTCTCGGCGACTTCGAGGTCGATGGTTGTTACGCCTTCAGTGGTTAACAGGGGGACTTCGCTTAAGAGGAGAGTGCCAGGGGTGATGTCCCGTGTAGCGATGAGACCGAGTCCTTTCCCGGGGATGGGCGCGATCTTCCAAAGGGACGATGGTATGTCTTCGCCATTTTGGGAAGTTGACGATGGCCAGTCTGGTTCTGTGGTGCGGCTTCGTGGCATGGCGAGATATGTGTATGGGTATGGATATTGAGATATTAATAGTTTGAGATGAAAATAAAGGGAGAGTTTGGGCAGCGGAGCTAGGGCTTTGTAGTGAAGTGTTAGTCTGGACCATGATAAGGCGGGACCATGGCTTTTTTTCGGGTGTGCTAATTTTTTCGAAGCTATATCCTTTTTTGGTAAAATAGTCGAGGGGGGGTGTTCTCACTGATGTCACAGTCACGTGATCTACAACCAATCTTCTCTTCAGTCAAGATTCTGATTCAAGTATCCTATACTAAGCGTAAAAAGTATACTTGACAGAAATTAGGAACAAAATCCATCGCATAAAGAACTTTGTTGTGATTTTATTAAGAGGAGAGCTTTTACTCAGGAGGAAGAGTCGAAGATACTGGTCCTGTTCTATTCGCGAGTAACAATATCCTTGGGATCTCCAGTAATCTCTTCTCCTGCACTGGTATCTGCTTCCGAAAAGTCTGTGATATGTTTTTTTGAAAGCCAGGCCTCTTTTGGAGTGAACCACCAGGAAAGGACAGCAAATATAGTGACCCCGGTCATAATAATGGGAGCATCTGAACTCACAGTTAGCAACTCCTACGATCTACCCGTCACGAAAAATGGAAAACCCACAATTAAGCGTCTCTCTAGTGATAGGGAACTCATAAGGAGAAAAAAGTACCACAACAACCCACCCATTCCAAAATATCGAAACGAACTGGAACGGCCGACGAAGTTTCCCCAGACTCCAACGCGGCTCAGGAAAGCTGTTTGGAGTGAGGAAGAAGCACCCAAAGCAGATCAAACCATATGCCGCCGCGGAAGGCACACCAGCTGCCGATATGAGAGAAGTGAAGGCCACTCCTGACGGAAGGATCGTGCAAGTGATGAGAGCGGAAACGCCCCAAATGACAAGGACTGCGTTGCGAGGTTGACCTTCGGGTGATACTTTGGAGACCCAGCTTGAGAATGGCAGAACCCCATCTCTTGCTACTGCGAAGACTAGTCGGGAGGCTGCGACGATGGCTATTGCGGTGTTCTGTTAAGAGTTAGAATTTTCTCGTGAAGCTTGAGAAGAGGGGCATCATTTGGAAAACTTACAAACCACAGTGCAGTGACGCAGACTATGTTCATAAATAAATGCCCGCCTCGGCCCAGCACAACAGCATACAAGGGCACAAATGGCTGTGGAGACCCAAATGAAAAAAGTGTTGCAGCATCGGGCTAGAGATATCAGTATACCAACATCCACAATCCACGAGTTTCTGGACTTACAGTACAGAATAGAAACAAGATAATGGTAATGAATCCCCCAATACCACTGACAACCGTACTCCAGAAAATGCCCTTGGCGGCATCGATACTCGCATTCTTCGTCTCCTCCGCCACGTGACCTGAGGCATCGAACCCAATCAGAATACCAGCTGTTGCAAGATAGGACAAACACCAATTCCACTCTGTTGGGGCTCCAGTACCATTATAAGTTGTCATGAACGCTTCGTTTGCGGTCCGGAAGCCCCAGGTATTAGCGGTGCCGATTGGGAGCCAGATAATATTGAGCAGGAAGTCTAGAAGGACGAAGGAAGACGAAAGGTAGAACACATATCGGAAAAAGCGAGCTGTTGTTGATATTTTTTTTCAGTTTAGATTTTATTTGTGTATGTGAAAACTTACGTGGTAAGAAGTTGACAAGGATCGCGAGTGCCAAGAGGACTTCGGTGCAGATCCATTGCACTGTTCTAAACTTGACAATGCTTGAGTCGGAAGGGAAATCTAGATTAAAAACTGTGATCTCCTGTTTAGTGATTAGCGGTTGGCTGCATCCATTTAGATTTTCGATAGGATTGGGTTCTCACAGAAAGCATATAATTCACAGCTGACTGCGTGTTGCCTGGATTCTGTGTCAGTTGTATCCATGGAAACGGGATTCGACAAAGCGAGACATACTAGCACAAAAAGTTGTCCAAGCTGCTATGCTCCACCATGCTACGACGAAACCAAGGAATCGCCCGTATTTAGGCCCCCCTGCTTCGGCAGCCCAGAGATAAATAGAGCCAGCTGCAGGGAGAGCCGAACATATTTCGGCTATTACTGCGGCTGTAATAAAAGTAAAGATACAAGTGACCAGATAACTTGTCCTACATGTAGCATTGGTTGTAAACCCTGGGCATGGGAATATAATGAGAGGGCCTACCAGTATGCCAAATTTCCTCCAGCAGCAATTCCGGTACTGAAGGTGACTCGGACTCCGCCCACGAAGTAAAGAGCAGCTATAATGCCATGAGTGGCTGGTTTAAAATCGGGTGGATAGAGCTCACCAAACGTTGTCGAGAAGTTTTCAATCAAGCCGTAAGTTCGATGGAGAATCTGAAGGATTCAGTAACGAGGTTGGGAGTCCCGCGAAACCAGCTTACTGGTTTGTACCCAATACTTTTCTAGTTGTGGGTTAGCTTAACATCTTGTGTCTCCAAAGATGTTCTCTATCAGGTCACTCACTAGTTGCAAATTATCTGTGTCTTCTAGTACTTGTTGCTTGCTGTCTTCATCATGTGACAATTCCTGCGTCTGAGGCGCAGCCTCCTCCGCTACTGCAATCGCAAGCTCTGTCAATGACATTGCTTGTCAAAGTGACTTTGACAGTAATTCCGCAACTCATACAACAGACGTATCAACTCTATATCTTGTGTTCTTTCGTGGAATGGCGTGCATGGGTTCGAGAGGCTTGAAGGACTCAAAAGTGGAAAATTCTTCCCGGCTGCCCACCCTAGGTTAGCAACGCTACCAATATCGAGAGCCATAGTTCCATGTAAATGGTCGTGAAAGAAAGACGGGACGAGACGGTTGCACAAGCTAATCCGGCGCTAATTCAGAAGCTTCGCGTACTTCCACGCTGTCTCGTCAAAGATGGATCCTTAAACCTCAAATTTTTCGCTCACTTATTATTAATTAAAGACTTAACAACACCAAAGTCACTTGATATAGAAGGTACTTCGTCCCATGAAGATGGTTGTTGGAGTCTCTACTATATCTGGGTGCACGGTAATTGCAACTGAGCACTCCACTGCCTCGCTCCGTTGCACCTTTTAATCCCAAGGGGTTACATGGTAATACAATGCAAAATCGAAATAAAGAATGGCCGCTTTCACCAGATCTGGGTTTTTTCGCCGTAAATATAATTATATTAAGGCATTATTAATGAATTTTGAGGATGCTACTCTAAAGTCTTTACTTTAGTACTTGTTTAGTAATCCCTCAAAACTAGTATTTGATCTAGTATTTAATATTAACTTTCAATTATTATAAATATAAGTATTTAGTATATATTTATATTTAGTAACTATTACTAGTATTTAATATCTAATAAATACTCTTATATAAATTATAGGTTTTTTCTTTTTAAAACTATTTATTATAAGCTTGAATTTAAATAATTAGAAATATAATAATATTTAACGAGATTATTTATAAACTTCTTTAAAAGAATATTCTTTATTTATAATTAAATTATTATATAAATATTAATTTTTTATATAATATAATATCTTTTCTTTAATTATAAAACTATAATATAGTAATTAATAAATTAATTATTTTTGCCTCTTAATATAATTAAATATTATAATATAATATATTATAATTATATGAAATAATTACTAAAAAAAATAAGCCTTAAAATTACTAGAAATTACTCTTATTCTTTATAATTAAAATAACTTTTAAATATTTAAATCTTAATAAATACTCCTAATTTATATAAATAATAATATTAAATATCGAGTTTTAAAGCTAGTAATAATTATAAATAATTAAAAAACAAGTATTATTTCTAAATAAGTCTTTATTCTTATATTATATTAGATTAAGGTATTTGTATTTATTAAAATTAATAGAATATTATATATATATATTTAAGTTCTTTAATTCTAATTTAATTCCTAATTTAATCTAATATTAAATATAAAGGATTTCATTTTAGTTTTATTTTTACTAGATTATATTTTAATATAAGTATTAATATAAATAGAATTAAATAAGGCTTCTTTTACTATAACTAGAGTAATACTATATTATTTTCTTTCCTATATTCCCGGATACTAATAATTTCAGGTCTAGTATATTGCTTTTATTTACTTATTTTCTTCGAATTCTAATATTTTTATATACTAATTTCTAGGCTGTTTTAGGTACTATTATTCGAGTATTATAAGTAAATTACTTTAGATTTGCTTTATATAGAAAAACTATATAATAAAAATAATATTTTTATATTAATTTATATTAATTTATTCTTTCGAGCTTTATTTCTTTATAATTATAAAAGTTTTCTATTAAATTAATATAGGCTAATAATTTTCAGGTTTATTTATTTACTTTATATTAAATAAAATTTCTTTCTAGTTCTTAAATATCTTATTTAATTTAAAGTTTCTTTATTAAAGATCTAAAATTATATAATTATTATAAATATAATATTTAAGATTTAAAAAATAAGATAAAAGATTTCTTATAAAAATAATTTAAAGTTAAAAAAAGGAAAACTAAAATATAAAAGGCTATAAAAAAGTATATATATCCTATAATATATTAGTTTATAAGAGGCCTAATCTTTTAAATATCTCTAGTATATTTTAAATATACTTTTCTAATAAAATATAAGTAATAAAATATAAGTAATAAAATATAAGTAATAAAATATAAGTAATAAAATATAAGTAATAAAATATAAGTAATAAAATATAAGTAATAAAATATAAGTAATAAAATATAAGTAATAAAATATAAGTAATAAAATATAAGTAATAAAATATAAGTAATAAAATATAAGTAATAAAATATAAGTAATAAAATATAAGTAATAAAATATAAATAATTATATTAGTTAAATTATAATATTATTTCTTTTTTTTAAATAAGCTTATTTCCGAGCTTTATAAAAGCTATTAATATATTTAATTTCGTATTATTTTCTTTTCTAAAATAAATTAATATTTTAGATATAAATATTATATATAAAAAATAAATACTTTTAATATATAATTTAAAAGAATTTATTATTATTTCTATATAATTTCGGGCAAATATTATTTTTTATATAATCTAGCTAATATAATAGATTTTATAAAAGTTCTAATATATTAATATTATTATTATTATAAAAGCTTTATAAAACTAGAGAACTATTATTTAATACTAAAACTAAATACTATATTAGATTCTTATTTTAACTAATTTATTTAATATTATACTTTTATTAACTATTTTCTAATATTAATAAAAGTAATTCCGGATTTATTTAACTTAGTAAAGAATTTTAAGAGTTCTTTTATAGTTTCTTTATATAAAAAACTAAATATATCTTTATAATTTCTAGTAATTTTAGAAGAAATGAATAGTTATATTATTCTAAAATCTCAAATAAATTCTTTATTTAGTTTTTTAGCTTCTGGCTCAAATAATTAGATTTCTAATATTTTGTAATAACTTATATTTTATTTTCGACTTTGAAATTAATTAAATAATAGTATTTATTAGCTTATACTATATATTATTCCTATATTTATTTTATATAATCTTAAGTAAATTATTATAATTCTTATAATTAATTTACTTATAATTAATTTACTTATAATTAATTTACTTATAATTAATTTACTTATAATTAATTTACTTATAATTAATTTACTTATATTTTATCTTTATTTCTATTTAGCTTTTTTAATTTTTTTAATTTTTTTAATTTTTTTTTTTTAAATAAATTAGCTTTAATAAAAGAATTCTAGTCTAAAAAAATATAAACTAGCTAATAGTTTTATATTAAAGAAAAACTTATTAATAATTTATTATAATAATTTATTTATTTTAATTATTCTAATAATAATTAATATATAAATATAATTTCTAATTAAAATACTAATTAATAATTTTCGTTTATTTATTTATTTAAAAATAATTAGTTATTAATAGCTTAAATTCAATATTATTTCTTATATAGAATTCCTAATTTAATATAATTATTTCTGAAATATTAATTTAATATATTATATAAAATAAAAATAGAATTATTAATTATTTAATTATAACTAGATACTTAAATAAATAATTCACGAATATAATAATAATATTATAGCTTGCTTTATTTTTCGAATAGCTCTTAAAATTTATAGTAATATATTATTAAAAGTAATTAGAAACTAGAAATAAATAAAATAAATTAAGCTTTTTATTTTTTAATATATATAATCTTTTATAAATATAGTAATTACTATAGTATTAATTAATATTCTTATTTATAGATAACTAGTAATATTACTTTTTAAATAATTAATAAAGCTTTATATATCTAAAATATTTAAAAAGAAATTTATTATATATTTTATAAATTAAAATAAATTATAAAAATAATTCAAAAGTTATTTTATTTTTTATTAATATAAAGTCTTTTATAATATAAAGTCTTTTATAATATAAAGTCTTTTATAATATAAAGTCTTTTATAATATAAAGTCTTTTATAATATAAAATCTTATTTACTAATTATAAACTATTATATTTAATAAAAGCTTCTAATAATACTTTTATAGAAATAATTATAATAAAGGCTATTAATAAAAATTCTAAATAAATATCTTTTTTAGTAAAATTATATTTCTAATAAAAATATATTTCTTTAAAAAGTCTTTAATATATATTTGATTTTTAAAACTAAATTCCGAATTAAATAAATCGATTTTGTAAAGTATTATTATAAGCTATAAATTATAAAGAATTTCTAGATTAATCTTATTTTTAGAAAGAAATATTTGAATTTATAGCTTTTTTTTAATTTGGCCTTAAATATTTATTTATTTATTTAATTTTCTAAAATAATATATAAGCTTAAAATAATAATAAAATAAAAGCTTAATTTATTTAGTTTATTAAAAAAAAACTTTTTAATAATTATAAAATATTATAAAATATTATAATTAAAATAAATTTTAAAGAAAGTATTTTAAAAGTCTTTTAGTTTAGATTTTTATTTTTTTAATACTTATATTATAATAAGTATTTTCTTATTATATATATTATAATTAGTTTTATTAAAATAAGTTATAAAATATTAAAGGCCTATTTCTGAATTTTATTAAAAGAATAATATAATATAATAAGTTATATTTTATTGAAATTATTTTATTTTAATAGTTTTAAACTTTTAGTTAAATAATAAAAACTAAAGTCTTTTATATATAACTTATAGAAATTATATAAAAAAGCTAAATTTTTTATAATTCTAAATAAGAATTTCTTTTTTATATTTAATTAATTAAATTATATATTATTTATATTATATATTATTTATATTATATATTATTTATATTATATATTATTTATATTATATATTATTTATATTATATATTATTTA